TCTGTCTGTCTGTCTGTCTGTCTGTCTGTCTGTCTGTCTGTCTGTCTCTCTGTCTGTCAGGTGTTGGTACTCACAGAAAAAGAGGAAGAAGTGACGGCCTACGCAAAGAGCGCCTAGACTCCTTAGAGTGTCACCCGATCTCCATGTGTGCTTGGACACACATGTGTGACTAGATAAGTGTGTGTATAAGTGGGGGTTGTTGGGGAGCTTTCTTTAGGGGTTGAGGGCGCCTCATTGGCTACTATGCTGGGGTCAGTCGGAGGTCAGGACATGTGTGATGGATGGACCTCTGTCTCTAAACCACTACCAAGCCTGCTCCCCATCCTTGTTCCTCCTGTGGGCCTCAGACCCGTTGAATTACCCTCCCTGCACTCCTCCATTTTCACATCTCTTTGTATAAGTCCAATTGGCACCCCCGAGTTGGAGTGTTTCATCAAAACGAAAGGAGCTCAACGGGAACTGCGGAGGTGAGTTGATGTCAGGATGTGGATGTGCAGCACTTCAGCCTGTCTCTCCTTACTTCTCCTCTCTGTTCTCATGTTGTATGTAGAGTCGAACACGTGTAGCAGCTCAGGCAGCGACTCACCACATGATGTCATCTCTCCTTTTCTTGCCCTCCTTCTCTTTTCCTCCATCACTCTGTCAATCCCTCCATCAGCTCCAGCCCTCTATTGGCACATAGAGACGCACATCTGTCGATGGAGGAATTCATTTTGTCTGCCAATCACACCAGGGGAGTGGTCATTGAGTGCAGATGTGCCAATACCTGGACTGCTGTGATGAGTGACTTCTGTCTGTCGCCATCTCCGCCTCCCTCAGCTTCCAGTCCTTGCTGTCTGAGCCACTGCCTCACTAACAGAGCCACTGTTGGAGAGAGGAAGGGTTGACTGTGGTGTGCAAATGAGGGAAATATCGTCATATTTGCTACTATTATAATGGGTAAACAAAAAAAACTCTATTATATGCTCAGATACGCATTTTGTCATATACGGTGTTGTTACTTTTGTGCACCTTACAGTTTTGCCAATACAGAAATGAGACCGAGCTATCACAATTTTCTCAGTTCTGAAGGTTAAACATTCAACACATGGTGGAGAAATTATCTAAAGTCTTCTTAAAATAGTCACAGCACTGTAAATTAATATTTTTACCCTTCAGATCGTTTAGGTTGTCTCTCTTTTATATGGGTCATCAGAAACGCACAGACACACACTTTTGAAAAAAAAAAAAATGTAAATTTAGAATCAACAAAGCCCATGAAATTATTCTGACACACTAAACAAGTCTGTTGTGTTTTTTTGTTTTTGTTTTTTTCCCTATGGGTTGTGTCTGCATGGGAGGATAAATACTTGCTCACTGTTTCTTTGCCTCAGCCTTGGTTGGTCACAAGATATTTTTATGTTGTGGATACTGATGGAAAAAATTAATTTTGTGATATATATATATATATATATATATATATATATATATATATATATATATATATATATATATATTCATAATGTTTTTTTAAAGGGTCCTAATATTAGTTAAAAACTTCCATTTTTTTAAAAATAGCTTTAATGATTGAAACGTTTTTGATTGGGTGCAGATTTTAAGCAAATGTGCTTCCATTAATTTCCTCCCCAAAGCCCTGAAAATACATAAAAACGTATTAGATTATTTTTATTAATATTAATAAATGCAAATTATTACTATATTAAAAAGAAAATAAATGTTAAATAGAATTTAACATATTATGAAGATTAGACAATCCTCAATAATCCTGAACAAAGTCTAATTTTTCTTGATAATTTTTATTAAAATACTTATTATTAAATCTGATTGATAAATTGGAAAATTGCCATTAAAGATGAAATTACTGTAGTTTTTTTTAAATAAATAATAAATATATAAGTATAATAAAATGGGTATTTTCTATTATTTCATGGATTTGCTGTAAAATTTATTTTAAATTTCTTCTTATTCTGTATTTAAATTTTATTTGACTCGAATTTTAAAAAAAATTAAGGCGAAACGATTTTCAAACCTTTTTTTTTTTTCCATTCTAACTATAAACGGCCTGAAATATTTCCTCCACAGAGAGTCGATGTCCAAAAGTAATTTATCATTCTGTATTCCTATAAGTTCAGCTCACATCTCGGACTGTTTGGGGGACACATCAAACAGATCCTCTCCATGATTTTTCCATTACCTCTTCAAGAGCTTCAAACTTTGATTCGTCCTTCTCGGAGCTTTAATGGTTTGAGTTAAACATCTGTCATCGTCCACATGTTTATCTCAGGGCTTTAATAGGAACCATCAGGTTGTCTGAAGTCTCGTCTCAGGACAGTAAGGGCTCCTTCTCGCACATTTTTCCAGTTGCATTCATTTAATGGTACTTTTTCAAGGCCGGCTCTGGTGTCGTTTTAGTCAAACAGGCCTCCGTAGACGGTTGTGCGCGAATTGTAAACTGTAGTTCGGGTTTGGATGGTGCTGAGACAACAAAGTGCAGCCGTGACCCAAGTTTGACCCGGAGCTTTTTGGGGGGCATCAGCAGCGTTTCCCTCTGGGGGACTCCTGCAGCGCACAGCGGAGCCTTCGGGGTGGGTGGGGATGGGGGGACCCCCGACCCGAAGGAGGTTGAGGGCCACCTAACATGAGCAACGAAAATCTTTTTTTATTTTTTTTTTTTATTTATTGTATTATTCCTAAAATAAAAAAATAAAAAAAACACTTTTGTCATGAGGGAGAACAAATTAATTAATTTATTTTCATTTAATTTGAATTATAAAGATTGGTGTCTCAAATTAGGTGTTTGGGTGCTTAACATTCAAAAATCAGCTCACTGGTTATCAAATATAAAATAAATACACTGAAAAAATAAAATAAAATTGTACATTTTAAAACTGTCCAAAGTTCAAAGAGATAGATAGACAGACAGACAGACAGACATACAGACAGACAGACAGACAGACAGACAGACAGACAGACAGACAGACAGATAGATAGATAGATAGATAGATAGATAGATAGATAGATAGATAGATAGATAGATAGATAGATAGATAGATAGATAGATGTTTTAACACAAATTTGACACTGTTTGTTTGAAGTAAAATGTTGGAAGTCCAAAGTTTCTATTTTTTTATTATAAAAGAAAACAATCTACACAAAAAATCCTGAATAATAAATTGCCTTACAAATACATTAATATCTTTTATTTTTATGTTCCTTTTTTATATATATTTACAGCACCCTAAAAAATCTAAACATTATTATAATTTTTCATGTTAAACTTCAAATATTTTTGCTTTTCTCATTTGAATTTATTCTGTTAAAAATTAATATTTCTTTCACACAAACCAAACCATAAAACATTTTCATGTCACCAGATTTCTGAGTGGCCTGAGTCCCTCCGAGCAACAACTGCGCGCACAGTTTGATTATTTGTACAGAAACAATCAAAAAATGAGGGTGCCAGCTTCCATATAAACCAATATTTTAACCCATCGAATCAAATAGACCATTATGTAATAAAATAAAAAAGAAAGATAATTTGTTAGCACAACTTACTTCCGTTTCGTGGCCTGAGCTGCAGCCTCAGCAGGTCTCTGCAGCTCGGCAGCTTCTGCAGGTGGATCCACGCAAAAGGTGAGCTCCGCTCATTAATCATGCTACTTTTCGGCGTTTCTTTGTCCTTGTGAGCAGGATGGACTCGCATCCTGCACACCAGGAATTAAAACAACAAACCCCGACCTGTTTTCACCCCCCAGTGCCTCAAACACTGCCCCCTTCTTATATCTACACTAAAGAGGATGTTGAATGTGCGTTGTGTGTGTGTGTGTGTGTGTGTGTGTGAGAGAGAGAGAGAGAGCATGTAATGATGCTGTCTGTGTGAGATTCGGTGCTGCAAATTTTCACGCTTCATCCTGACATCAGGTTGGCATGATGACACCTCTGTGTAACTTGGGGAACTTAGAAGCTGACGCTGACAGGACCGGTGGGGCTCCCATCTTTGTCAATAGCTTAACCTCGTTGTTTCAATCAATAGAGTTTCCCCCCCCTCCCTCTATAAGCCGAAAGCTCGATAAGGTTGCCATCACAAACGATGCTGACACCCGCGCTCTCATCTTCCCCGCGGATAAACAGGCTTTTATTATGCCAATAACTCTTCACCCCCAGGGACGGGAGCGCGCACAGTCGCATACATTGAGAGACTGCATGAGTTGGAATAGTTTCGCAGACTGCTTTAGACAGACGTTTGCTCCTCTGTCTGCAGCTTCGATATTAACCCCCCACCCCCCCCAAAAAAAAACACAACACAGAGGAAATGATTTATAAATAAACGCACTTTAATACGCACGACTGACCCGTAAACATCTCCGTGAACAAAACAGTTTGCATGTGCTCCACTTGAATAATTAGCAGATAAAATTGAATTCGGCAACTGATAAAACTCAGCGCCCCTAAAAAAACAACAACTTGGAGGCACCACCGAGCTCATGAAGTACATTCAAACAGTCGATTCACATGAACACAAAGGTGAAAGTGATTTCAGAACCACTGGAACAATTCATATATAGAAGAGGTCATCTCATTGATTGTATGAAGCTCCGTTTAGCATCCTGCACTTGCAGACAGACAGGATGCACAACTTTTGCCATTTGAGATATTTTTTTGTTTTTTTTTAGGTGCCGACTTTTCACTTTGCGTTAAGCAGCACTACTCAATGACACTTGCTCTACAAAAACGTGAGTATTTTGCAAATCTGCAAATATCAGAAGCAAATGTACACACCGTGATTGCATAAACAGTTATGGGTCTTGCAGAGACGTTGCACAAATTAAAACTAATCTAAAGCCCAAGAGTGGTCCACGTTGTAGTCACGCGTTCCTAAATAAAGGAACTTTTATAAATGTTCACACAAATGTCATTCACGAACAAAGACTTTGGTTACTTGAACTTTGGCATATAGGTGCCCAGAGTGGCAAACAGAGAGCTGGTCCTCAGTTAGAGGTGTAATTATCAGTACCCGTGGAAGACACTGTGGAGGATGAAGGAGAAGGAGTGGATGGGGCTGAGATGGACCTCTCAGATGCTGCGTCGTCCATTTTCTCCTGAATGATCTCCTCCGGGTCAGAGGAGGAAACTTTAGCCGGTAGCATTCCCTCCTTTTCGCGCTTCTTCTGCTTCATCCTCCGGTTCTGGAACCAGATTTTCACCTGAGTTTCATTTAGCTGCAGCGCGGCAGCAATCTCCACGCGGCGCGCCCGTGTCAGGTACTTGTTGAAGTGAAATTCCTTCTCCAGCTCTGTCAGCTGCTTGGTGGTGAAGTTGGTCCGGACGGTGTTGGGCTGCCCAGCATAACCGTACTCACCAGAGCGCCCTGCAGACAGGGGAAACACGTGGCTTATCATCTTTACCACAAGCCTGTTCAACGTTTACGCATTTTGAGGGACTTTTACGCATTTGGAACAACTTTTACGCAAACAATTTATGCAGCTTTACTTACACACAATCTTAACGTTACATACACTAAATATTAATACACTTAAAAACACACTTATTTAATACAGACTTGGCATATAGTGAACATGGACTGTTTTAACGTTAAAAGTTTTGAAGTGGACACTGACGTTTACTGATTTTGCGCATCAAACTATAAAAAAGTGTAATGTTGCTGCAGCATTCTAGTTCAAACTACTTAAACTATTTAATCGAGGCATGTTTAGAAACTTTGTACTGATTCAAATCAGTTAATATATTCTCATATTGCGCCCACCTGTTTTCGGTGGATTCCTTTTCACCTTCATCCAGTCGAAAGTCTGAGCAGACGATGCGCTCTCAGACAGAGGTGAGCAGCAAGCCTCCATGTGAGCTGCATGCAGAGGTGACAGCGGGTGGGAACCCCCAGAATAAGAGGGTGCTTGGTCGTGCCCATCACCATAAGCAGCATGGGTATACTGCAGCTGGCCCAGTGGGGTGGCATTGTAACCATGGCGATGTTGAGACACCATAGAAGAAGACACATTTCCCGAAAACATCAGTGAACTGCACTGGGGGAACGCAACTGCAGAGTCTACTTCCTGGTTGAGGGTATAATGGTTATAGGTGGCGCAAAAACTTTGGGGCCCATAGTTAGAGCTGCAGGCCGGATGGGCTCCATATACTGCAGACTGATATGACCCCGGTTGGTGAGGGATGCTGTCAGGAGAAGTCCTGTTTGCCATAAAGTGCTCATCAGCCCCGCAGCTGTTGATGGCAGCCCCGCAGGACTGGAAAGCTGTAATCCCGTGGTCTGAGTGGAAAGCCCTGATTGAACGCGAGCCACCTTCTGCGCTCATCACCGAGTAGTCTAAGAAGCTGCTCATTGTAGCATCGTGGTCCTGGGACCCAAATCCCCGTCCTCTCGACAGACACCACTGTGTTCTCACTCTCACCCTGAGAGTGACCGTGCCAACCTTTACCTATGCTCTGTCCCATCAGTGGAGGAGAGGAGGAGGGGGGTATCAATGAACCGGTGTTGTCACGTGGGTACGGGTCAGCCACTGAGGCACTTGTCCTTATCCTCTCAGCCGGTGACAGATTGGTGTTTGAGGGGCTATTTAAATTCCAAGCGCTCGTCGATCAAGGTGACGCGCGTCTCCGTTAATGTATTGGCCGAGCAAACAATGAGCTGGGAGGCAGAAGGCGGTGGACAGCTCCGGGGTCGCATGAGAAGCGGGGGTAGCTACTGCAAACACGGTGACTGCGCGCTCTCACGCAGAGGAGAGAAGAACCTTCTGCTACCTCAACACAAGGGAAGATCCTGCACTCTGACCTCAGGTACCTTGTTTCAGGAATAGAAAGGTGTGTGTGTGTGTGTGTGTGTGTGCGTGCTTTGGTGTTTCCTCCGCGCGTAACAGCCGTGATGTCATTAGTATACCCATGTCGTTCGCTCCTAGATAGATGGATGGCTGAGTGTGTGCGCGCGCCACAGCCGCAGGCTATCAGAGAGCTATTAATGTCTCATTTCAATGCGAGATGTTTCACGCTTGAACATTAAGGGATTTTCTCGGCAAATATTGTCACAGTGTGACAGCGACAGAGACGCAAGACTTGTCCCCTGATTCACACCCAAAATACACTCATTCCATCAAACAGGGCGTTTTTTTTTTTTTTTCTTCTCAGAACTTTGTTCCCCCCTGAAGGTTGCAGGATGTATGCAAGCTTTGTGCAACCGGTGCGCCAAGTCATGCGGCGTGGCGTCACAACATATCTTCTGTGTGTGTGTGTGTCACTTCACGCCATGTGATGTGGAGAAATGTCACCCTAAACTAAACTTGAACTCCTAACCTAAACCAGATTATGTGACGTTGCAAAATAACGCGCAAAACAGGTGCGTAAAAACGCTCGCCTGAAGTGGCGCGTAGTTTTTTTTTTTTTTTCCATATTATCTTTGATTGTCACAAATGATAAAGAGACACTACATGTAACATCAGGCTGATGGCATATAATTCTCTCCCTCTCTCGCGCGCGCGGGTCATAGGGTCACAGTTTCACTCTCTCATGTATTCATTACGCAGTGATCAAATGATGTAATAATGCGAGGCTCGCTAATGCGCAGATGTAGCCCTAGGTGCGAGTGTGGGTTGATTATCGTGTTAAGTTCATCAAATAAAGCTGCTGGGGAAATTAATGGCTGTGCAAAGCAGGAGTAAGAAAGTGCCTGAGAGAGAGCGTGACTGTGTGGGGAGGGAGGGAGGGAGGGAGGGAGGGAGGGAGGCTAGTGTGCGTGGGCGACTTGCAGCAGCAGATGCCCAACCTCTAACCGAGGAAGGAAAAGAGAGGAGAAGGGGAGAAAAGGGAAGGGAGGGAGGGGAAATAAATGGGTTGTATAAGAACGAGCGCCCCCACAGGTCAAAGGAAGTCCAACATCCACACTTTTTTTTTCACAATAAGGATAAAACACATTGATAAGTGCTCCTGTTGATGTGGGGTTTAATTTAGCGCACTTGGAAACTTTGTTCAGCCTATTTCAATTTCCCGTACTTCTGTCACGACATGCCAGTGGGGATCATTTAGATTTACTGTAAATTAAACTAAATTTTTCTCCTTTTTACTTACTACTCCACTAATTTAGTTGCTTTAATGAGAATGTTGTTATTCTCGTGATGCCTGTAACGTGTTTAGGAGAGAAAAAGTTTCTATGTCTGCACTTTTCTACTTTCAACTTCCCAGTCCAAGTCTTTGATGGTGGGATTTAAGTGCTGAAGTTTGAAAACATTTGGTCCTTGTTGCACTGGAGAGAAGGGAAAAATGCAATACCCCTCACCCACATTCCCCCCACCACCACCACTCCGCCCCCTCTCTCTGTCTGTCTGTCTTTCCCAGCTGCCTCTGCAGTGAGTGGGCGCAGTGGATCCTGCGTGGCTCGCCTGAGCGTGGAAAGAAACTTCGGAGGTCTGATGGGCTCTTTGTGTGAGAAAAGGCGCGCTGTCCCGGAATGATTCGGTTAAAGCAGACCCAGTGCGCAGGAGCGCAAGATCTTCCCCCGCTTGTACCCCCACGTTCAGCACACACACACACACAAACGCACACAACTTTCCCACTCTCAGTCAATGACTTGCTTATGGCTTCCAGATTATTCGATAAAGGCTCGAGCTGAATTCCACGCTGTTTGAATCGATCCACGCCAGCTCGCATCGCAACTGGTGGTTGTTTCCAGTCAGTGGGCTTTTTCCCACTCAGACCTTATTAGTTTGGACTATCGAGTTCTAATAACTGATTCCCAAAAGTCTAATCAAGAGCAATACAATAAAGCTAAACCCTTCATAATCCCCTGTATTGAATTAGAGGCTTTAAACCTCGTTCTTCAATAAAATTGCAAATATTCTCATTATAAACTCATTCTCTCTTTTAAAGCAAACCCAAGAGATAATATCCTAGGGAGTTAATATTTTTATTTTATTTTATTTTATTTTTAGATGAAAAGTGATAAATCTTGACTACTCCACGAGCCGTGCGCTCTGGGTTTGGAGTGTGTGCAGGCTCTTAACCTGAGCTGCTGCTGTTATCGCCGAGTCATAGCCGTGTGTTAAACAAGCTATAAAAATGAATTATTACCAAACGCACGCAGAGACACCCCCCTCCCTTTTTTTTTAAAGCTTAAGAGTCAGGGAGTCCCGTATGAAAACGTAACTGGAGTTTTCCCCCTCTTTTCTTATTTATGCACATTACACCACAATTGGTCTCTTTAATGTCCGTCTCATTCATGCCACGGAGTGATTTATGAGCTCCTGAAGGCAAACATGGCTCGGGTGTTTGCCTGCAACTTGCACACAATGTTAAGAGTCCCTGACATGCTCAGATCCGGTTTAGCTTATTTTCGTTTTAAATGTACTCATTTCATAAGATGAATTAAAAAAATATATAACTCTGTGCGCAAAAAGCCCTGCTCTTGTCGGCACATTTAAAAACCCTCCCAGGGAAGCAAATGATCCTATTTTGCACAATTAGCTTGTTGCTTATGTATTTATATTTTAAAGTCTTTCAAAACATTTACCTAAAATAAAAATTTTGCGTTTTATCATTTAAAAAAATAAAAATTATGAATGCAAAAAAAAAACTTTACTAAATCATCCAAATGATGTTGACTTGGACTATTTTATTAATGTGCCCTCAATAACTCAATGCAAACTAGATAATTTATATTCATAACCAACCTGTTGTTAATTTGCATAACCTCTTTATCCCCGCTCCTGTTTTTTTAATTAAGTTTCCAATAATAATAATTAAAAAAATGAGGCGATATACCAAATTTAAATGTAAAATAAGGGACTCAAACAACAGTAAAAAGATTGTAGCAAGTTATTTGTATTCTAACAAAAATATCCGAGAAACTATACAAAAATAAAAAAAGATTGACCTGCTTTAGGGCTAATACTGCTGGGTTGTTCTCACACTCATGGTGTCCAATCCATCAAGTTATGGTGATTATTATGGGCTGCTTTAGCTGTGTCAGTGATTTAATTTCAGCCTTACCTTCTTTATAATCGTCAAGTCAAAAATCAACAGAACAATGTGCCGAATTTTACAAACAGCAGAGCTAATATCAGTGTAGCCTGATTCACACAAAGGAAAGAGAAGGGGAGGAAATATATGGCGAGTGATTTGCGTTAATAGTTCAGATGCTGCAGGTCGATCGTGGTTAGAGACTCCGAGAAAAAGTAGAAAGTGTCCGCAGAAATGTCCACGGGACTGTCCAGAGACTCGGACAAGCTCGGCGAGGCTGTGTCTGAGAGCTGCAGGCAGGAATCCGAGGAGAATGGCTGAAAGTCGTGTAAAGAAACATCCAGAGCTGACGGACTGTCCCCATTGTCCGGCCCAGATGCCGAGCCCGGGCCCATTGTTGACATGCAGCCCGGAACAGTGGGTGACGGGTTGGGGAAATGTTTCAGATTTTTGTCATTGCTGCTGAGAGGCGCGGCGGCACCAAAGCTCGCCGCCTCATTGTGGATCTGCTGCGTGTTCTGAAAGGAGCAGGTATCCCTCTCCAGCAGGGGCCCGCTCTGCTCGTACAGCAGGGGCCCCTCGTCCTCCTCCTCCTCCTCGCTGTGGATGCCCTCCTCTGCGCCGGGGCCCTTCCCGTCCCCGTTGTGGTTCTCCTTGCTCTGGGTCTGCCGCTTGTGCTTCATGCGCCGGTTCTGGAACCACACTTTGACCTGGCGCTCGGTCAGGTCCAGCAGGGCCGCGATCTCCACCCGCCTGGGCCGGCACAGATACTTGTTGAAGTGGAACTCCTTCTCCAGCTCCAGGAGCTGCGTGTTGGTGTACGCGGTTCTCAGCCGGCGGGAGCCCCCTCCTCCTCCTCCTCCGCCACCGCCGCTGCTCTCCACGATCTCAGGCGAGCCTGGAGAATAAACAGCACGGTGGGATTAAAACACGCAGGACACAACAGTTACATAACCCCACTGCCCACAAATAAAGGCTTGCTCACTCCACAAGGAAGCTGGCTGCAACAAAATGGCCGCTTGCGCCACTTTTAGCCCAAAACAGGCAGGAATTACGCAGATTTTCACTATTTTGTTCACCAAATAATAATAAAAGCAATGAGCCGACATGTGCTGTGCTCTAACAGTGAGGTCCATGCTGGCGTGGGATTCTAATGAATGCTCCAGCTGCCCTCCTCGGCAAAGGCACTCCATCACTCTTCATTACTGTCACACATCAAAACTGCCTCTGCGATGGGAATAAATCATCTTCCATCACCTAAAAACTTTAGCCAAACTTTTTACGCACGAACAGCAATATCATAAACACAAACCCAGGAGAATAAAAGCCCATTTGTTGTTTTTTTGTTTGTTTGTTTGTTTTTTAGTAGCTTACAGCAACAGATAGCGGTAGCCATAGTTGCCTGTTTTTATTCTCACCCACCTTTTGGAGAGAAGCACACAGCTCCGTTTGAGATGGCGGTGGTAGCGGTGGATGTCGGCAGGTGGTTCCTCTTGGAGGCTTTCTTCTCGCGCATCCACGGGTACTCCGGGGGCAGGGAGGCGGTGGGCAGCGGGCTGCACCCCGCATCCTGGCTGTGTCTGGGCCGGCCGTGGCGCGGATGGCTGCCCGGGTTCAGGCTGGGGATGGTCTGCTCGAAGGGAGGAGGAATCAGTGTCGGGCGTGAAAGCGTCGAGCTCTTGATTGATGAACTTTGAAATGAATCAGCGACAGGGGGGAAAGATGTCAGGCACTCAGCAAGCGACGGCTGACTATTGATAAAACCGCTCTCTCGCTCGAATTCGTAATTCATCTCCGCTCCCTGCGAGCCGAGGAAAGTTTGCGCGCGTATTTTTACAAATGTCGCGGCTCAGTGAGAACGAGAAAGAAGAAAAAAAAAACATTAAAAAAAAGAATCTTGTTGTCTTTTTCTATGCCACTGATTACGGCCGTATGGGGACCGAGCTACCATTAAACTATTGAATTCATGGAGACAAGGTTGAAATTGGACCGAACTGCCTGTCACATGATTACCTCTGCCCAATGACAATTTAGGGTTTAATCAAAAGGAGCCACTGTCTGCCTGATTGATCCAAAAACTCTGCTGCAGATCGCCTCGCCTCAGCTGGGACACGACTGTTTTTATTTACATCTTTGTCCGCTCAGTTTATCCTCCGCTGGCTCCTCCAGTCCGCGCCACTAAGCCACTAAATGTGCGTGTTTTTTTAAAAGAATGGCTGACTCTCCGCTACAAGGAGCCCAGCTTCAGGGTGCGCGGATTCGTGCACTCCTCTTTTCTCGTATTGTTTGAGGATGTCAGTCGAGAACGCCCCCCACCACACAAACACACACACAGAAACACACACAAACCCACACATTTCAGAAGCTCTTCATATTTTCGGCAGACTTTTGGAGGTGAAAAGGCAAACCTCAAGTGGGGAAGCCCAACCAACCCTCACTGAATGCGCACATACATGCGAGCCTTAAATTATATGTGACTTATGAGGTGCATCTACTGCAAAAAAAGCCCCATAATTCACTAAATACTGACAGTTATGAAAAATTTGGATCAAAAGCAGTTTAACTTGAGCAACGGGAAAGCTTGGATACAGACAGTCACGTGCAAGTTTAACTATTAAGGCACTTTTTTTTGTTGTTTAATACACTAAATAAAGTCGATTGCAAATCAAATCAGCAGGAGCTCTTACTCTTGTGATCCTATAGGATAAAAAAATATATGTCGATGATAAAATAAGGCATTATTTTGCGCAAATGCGTTAAAAAAATCTGATTTTCTCGTGAAGCCACAATCACATTAAGGACAATATGGGAGAAAACTCCACTTTCTTTTATCACCTGGATTTGCAGTGAACATCAACACAGTTACAGTCGACCATTTGTAACATCTGTAGCCTTGTTGTACAGTTCAGGGTGAGTTGCGCCTCCAGATTAATCTGTGAAAGCCACAGTCAGGATTTTGTTTTTCCTAAAGAGACAGCACATTTCATTCCCAGAGAGAGAGGAAAAATATATATGTGGTTTATTGAGTAACAGAAGGAAGAAGAAGAAGAAGTGGAAGGCCTCTTTCAGTTTTCTTGCTTATATACCAAACAAAGAGTCCTGGAAGCCTGCGCGCGATCAATCTTACTCGCCAAAAGGTCTGACAGCTCGGTGCCCTCACAACACATTTAAGGCTTCTAACTCTCCCCCAGATCAAATGCAGCCAGGAAGCGCCGAGAAACACTGGCCACTCAGATTAGAACCAGTTTCTGCTCGCACTTCTGGTCGGGTTTGTCGCTTGAGGGATGTTTTAGAGGAAAGAAAGAAAAAAAAAAGAATCCAGCCACACAAGATGCGACCATTTCCTTTCTGAGAACAGTGAGTATGGGGGGGCGGGGGGAGGCTGGCTTCCACACCTGGCTTTCTATTCTTTGGGTTGTTAATACCAAAAGGAAATTTCGATTTTTTTATTATTATTATTATTATTATTAATTGTATGTTGTTTTCGATTTTAGCAGAGGATTTGTGAGTTGAGCAGAGGTGACGAGTTGCTAAGGGAAGAGACGGATGGCTATTTTGGAATTACGCGCAGGCTTTGTGTGCAAGAAGAGGAGTGGGTGGCGGCATTTAGAGGACCTCAGCATGTCCTACACACTTATCTTTATACTAGAACTGATTTACGACCGATTCTCTCACGGATTAAAAAAAAAAAAAAAAAAAAGGAAAGAAAAAAGAAAATAATATTTTTTCCTTTTCCAAAAAGAGCTGTTTTCGTAAAAAAAAACAAAAAAAAAACAATCTATGTGCTATCTGTGCATGCGTGTGCATGTGACTGTGTGTCAGTGTTGGATGCAGAAATACTAAATTCATCAGTTTTTGTTCTTCTGTGACACCATGCTCCAATTGTTCTAGGTTCTCCTGCTAACCATATGTCAGGGCCAGCAATGTTCGTGCCCGTGGATATCAATCAGTTTGGGCTGATGAGTCGAGTACAAAGGGGGAAAAAATAAAGCAAGACAGGAAGAAGAAAAAAAATTGAAAATAAATTTCGAAAATCAGAATGAACAAAAACTGCTACAAAAAAAATGCAACAAAAGTAGAAACATGTGGTTTTAGATTGTGCGTAATTTGTCAGAATGATGCTGATCCATGTGGGCCCTGAACAATTCTGTTGAGATAAACTGCAAATTATGAACAAAATGAAATATAGCATTGTGCGCAATAGTTTTGAATTTAGTTACAAAGAAATGTAGATGTGATGTTTTTTAGCTTTTTAACGACTTTCCCCGTTTGTCCATCAAACTCGCAGATCTTGCGCAGAATAATCAAACATTAGGAGTTTGTCCTCTCTGAGCGCATTTGACTGACTGAACCGTAGCAGTGAATTATTTTTTAAACGATTTCTCATTTAGCTTGTTGTCTCTTTGCAGGACCTCCAAGAGCCCGGCTGACATTTTTATTATTATGGATGTACCCAGACGACAGAAGAAGGGCCACCCTTGACTGCATTTTTTTTTTCTTCACATTGAATCAAGGGGAGGAGGATAAAAAACAAATAATTATTATTTAATGTTTGATAGCTTTTTGTTTTAATAATAACTGATGTTATTAAATGTTATTCCATCTGGAGGGAAATTAAAAACATGGTTTCACAAAAACAAATAAAACAAAAGCTTCTTAAATATTATCTTAAGCGTTTTTATTTTATTTTATGGGGTTTATGTCATTAAAATAAAGAGTAACTTATTTTAACAATAGCAAAGTTAGAATTATATTTATGTGTATTTTTTGAGGCGTTGATTTGTGTGAAATGCTGCAGCCAAGTCTAAATTAAAACTGAAAGATGTGCGTTCATTTCAATTCTTTTATTTATGTCTTGGAACCGGAGCAGCGTGGAATGTTTGACATGGAGAAGGGGAAAAATGGATGTTTGTCTTTTATTCAATAAAGAAAACTGCAAACGTGTGTCCTTCTTATTGCATGACTGATTGATTTTTTTTTTTAACAATCGCTGAGAAAATAAAACACCTCCACGAAGAAGAAGAGAAAAAAAAAGAAAAGAAAATAGGGACATGTTTTTTTTTTGCTGCTGCTCCCCAGAGCGCACATATATGAGCTGAAAATGGCCGATACGCTAATTTTCCACCAACCTTCTCCCCCCTAACACACACGCGCGCGCGCACACAAAGATGGAGGGGTGTCAAATAATACTATACGAGTCCTTTTTTGCCTTTTACAGCGAACAAAATAAATAACATGGAGTCCAAACGGAACAAAACACAAAATCAAGGGAAGTGGCGTAAAAGCTCAGGACCCTTGTTTTCTTCTTTCTTTTGAGAATAAAAATCTCTCCCTTCACGATCTCGTGGCTCTTGAGGTCTTTTACACAAGTGCAACAAAATGCAAAAAAAAAAAAAAAAAATTCTTCAACTGCGGATAAATAAAGGACGGACAAATTCACATTAAAGAGTAATAACACGTGTTCATAATACCCTGTTTGAGCTTAAAACAAGAGTTTTAAAAGGAAAGATTAAATATTCGTACTAAGCTGTGCACCCCTCCCTCTCGCTATCTCTAGATTAAGGTCCTTGTTAGACAATGACATCAAGCAAATGGAAGAAAAAATTCAATAAAGTCGTGATTATTTAACCTACTGCTACTTCACACATCAAACTATAGAGGGAACGTAAAGGAGCGCAGAGGAGAAGGTGGGAGCCGTGAGGAGGCGCAGAAACAAAGCAGGAAGTATGTCTGGAGGTGGATGAGACAATGGGGCGGAGTGATCCACTGCTACAGATGCGTCAGTTTGGGGGCTTCCTGGATTCTTCCCTGAGAGTAGTGCGGCGTTAGGTCTGTGTACGTCGGAGTGGGGTCACACACTCCGTGCTGGCTGTTGCCCATTGTGATTGCTCCGTTGTACTCCATGTTCGCGGACGGCGGGTGCGGGAGGTGGGTCAGTCCGAACACGGACGCGCCAGAGCTGGAGTCCATGTAGCCTCCGCCGACATAGACGGGGCTGCCTTGCATGTGCGTCCCATAGTTGCCATTGCCGTGGAGAGGGTGCGCGTCATACTCGGGCGTGGCCGAGTCTGTTCCGGGGTACCTCTTCTGGGATGGCGGGCAGTTGTTCAGTGAGTTGTTCAAAGGAGGGGGGTATGACGTAGCCATACCGTATGCGTTTTGATGAGGTTTATTATAAGAGGTCGGCGACTGGGATTCGTATGGTACGCTGTTAACCAAAGAATGCATAGAACTGAGGTATCCGACTCCCCCACTGCCGCCACCAGAGGCAGGGCCCACGGGGCTCCGCGGGGACTGTCCACCAGGAGAAGGCATCATCCCGACGCCCTTCTGGTCCTTTTTGTACTTCATCCTGCGGTTCTGGAACCAGATCTTGATCTGTCTCTCTGTGAGGTTGAGCAGGTTGGCCATCTCCACCCTCCTGGGCCTGCAGAGGTACCGGTTGAAGTGGAACTCCTTCTCCAGCTCCACAAGCTGCGCGCTGGTGTAAGCTGTCCGGGCTCTCTTTGATGCTGCCGACCCCGGGGGGCTCTTGTCTCCGGGGCAACTCTCCACTGTCGGGGAGAAGGAGAAGGAGGATGTCAGTCAGTAATCCATTAAAGACTCGCACACAGAGGTTTACAGGACAGCGGAGTGAGAGTGAAGCAGAATCCTGTGACAACACATCCTCAGAGAAGGGGGGGGGGGGGGGGGGGGGGGGGGACTGTATAACAAATAAATCTGGCCATTAAAGCAATGCTTTCAAAATAATCAACCCCCCCCCCCCCCTCTTCTTCTTATTCCTTTAACATACAAACATCTCCACATTCTGATGAATCTACTCCTCACACAGGGGTTATCATCAAGGGAGCACGAGACAATTAACAATCAATGCACTAGCAGCAAAACATAAAATGCCACTGAAATATACTGGGTCAGTATCTGATGTGGAACCGAGTGACCTCAGGTTTCCTACTAAAGCATTTTGACCCCTTTCCTGCCCCTGCAGTCACGCCGGTAGCATAATGCAAGCACAAGCATTATAGATTTCTCAGGGTGTGTGAAACTGCTCGTCCTGCCCTCACTGATAAGCTTAAAAGAACTGGGTCTGGGCTGCAGAGTAAGGTTGGTCTACTTACCGCTGTGGCAAGCAGCCAACACTTCATACATGGCACTACCTGTCTCCCAAAAAGTGTTGCAAAAGGAATGCAACATGACACAACCTGACCCTTAATGATATTGCACAAATGGAACAGAGGTTATCACGTGGATTTTTGAAGAAGTCTGTTAGGGAATTGTGAATGTTGTAGATTATTATTTATAAATTCATCCTAAAGCTATTAAACGTGCGCCCTGCGTGCACCAAGTGTGGCGTGCGTACAAAGTGCACAACGTAAGTAATTTGAAGACAATTGTGTGACGCAGCCAAAATGTGACACATCTATTGATGTATACATAAAAATAATTGCAAGCTCATTTTACAACTCGTATTATCTTTAACATGAAGGCGTTTAAAGATCCAGTTGTCTTGAAAACCACTGACCTAGATCTGTCTGTGCTCTAAAATGTGTAAAATGTGGGTAAAAGGTTTCTCCAAAGATCTTAGTGCACTATTGATTTTTATCCAAATGTCATACCAAAATGCTATCTTGATTTGTGTTGTTTTATTAAAAGGATGAATATGTGAGCATTCATACTTAATTTACATTTTTTCCTTTAATTTCTAGTTTTTTTTTTAATATATTTTTAATCTGAATACACACGAGAACAGTCTGAAGTGAGCATTGCATTTCATAGATCAATATATTTACTGTTGAAAGGCTAATAAAACGTCCTTGTTGCGTTCAGTTGAATTGAACTGATGTGAGTTTAGAGCAGGGGTCTGTAATATGAGGCTCTGGAGCCACATGCGGCTCTTTAGTCTCTCATCTGTGGCCCTTTGAAACTTTGACCAAAACTAATGTGATATTTAATTTGATTTATTTTTATACCCACAACCAAATAGGCTCGTTTTGAAAATTCAGTTTTCTGTCAAGTTCCTGTGAATTTGTGAAGGATATACTAATACAAGGAAACACTGAGTACATTTAGCTACTTCATTTGTCCAACCTACAGGCTTACTGTCGGCTCTTTCTCTAAAAAAAAAAAAATAATAAATAAATAAATAACTTGTCCAGCAAAATACCCTTTTTTTTCTGTACACTTTAAATTTATGTTTATTTACTTCAAAGCGTATACATAATTTTAAATCGGATAAGAAGACTTATAAGCCTGCATGTAGAGACTCGTATAAACACTTTTCCCCTACTTTTAATGATTACTACTTTTAATGATTACTACTTTTATTCAGGTCTCTCTTGTAAATGAGTCCCCGAGGCTCAATGAGATTAATCTGTATAAATAAAGGTTGAATGAATGAAAAACTTTTAGTCTTTCCTTTTGCTCTAAAAAGTGAAAGTATCAATAAATGTAAAAATGCATGATATATTTTTAGTTTTATAATGTCACCCCAACTGGACAGAAAAGCCCTCCTCTAACGACCTCCAAGTGGCCCATGGGCCACCAGTTGATAAGCAGGTTTTGCAGCTCACATTGTATTCAGTGAGCGAAGTAGCAGAAATGTCTCTTTCGGTCAAAAAAAGGAGATTTGTTAAACGTCGTGCAAATATAATCTACATTTTTTTGTGCCAGTGTAGGAAAAACACACTCAAACCTGCTTCACAACTTTACCTTTTCATTTCTCCCTCTCACCTTAATAACAGTCTATGATTTTTTTAGAGGGTCATGGGAAGATGAGGATTTTTAGAGTTTAGCTTGGCTCTAAGTAAATACCCCCTCCTCCTCCTCTAGCCTCCCTCCCACACTGACCCACTGAGTTTTCCTCTAATCAAAACAGCAGGACAAACTGAAACAACTGTTGTGTGTGTTTGTTTGCTGTCTCTCTGGGAACATTATGTGATCAGTGGCGATGTGTGTTTACAGTAGGGACAGGTCAGCTGGAGGGCATGGGGACAACGAATGGAAGGAGGTGCACCCAATAAGGCACAGACATGCTCCAGTCAGCTGCTCTAAATAGCATGTACGGCGCATGTTGTTGGAGTGTTCAAGGCATAAATATAACCTCTGTGGCTCTTTGTGCAGCCAGACCAAAAATGATGCAGAGAAACTAAACACCTTTCTGCCACAGCACTGGAAACCCATTATGACCTTCCAAATATTGTTCTGTTGTGGTTTACCCCCTACCTCCCAGCCCCTCACCTGCCCACATATTTGCACACCTCTGTGCATTATCCTCCCTCAGCTGAATGCAACTATCTGTGAATGTCAGCAGTGAGTACCTGAGCTGGAGCTACTGGTGGGTTTCTGCTTGGTGTTCTGACGGGACTCCTTCATCCAGGGGAAGATATGTTTGCTGCGACCTCCAGAGGTCGGGGAGCCGTTCTTGACGCCGGGCTGGTTGGACCCGTTGCCTGCATTTTGGCTGTTAGCACCGGGGGACTGTGAGGGAGGAGGTGGGCCCGATGGTTGATTGCTTTCCGGGAGGACCTTGGACTGCGCCGCCTGAATGGCCGTGGTCCTGTCGCAGCTCTCCGCCATCTCTCCCGGCTTCTGCAGAGCCACGGAGCCGCCAGGAGACTGCAGGGAGCAGGCAGGTCGATGGTACTCACTTTCCACATGAGAGACCCGGGGATATTGGACCTGATTGGCATCATAACTGAAGCCATTTGCGCTTTGATATGGGTAGCCACTGTAAATTGCGGAGCTGTCGTAGTAGGTTGCCTTTTGCATCTCGCCGTTTCCCAATATTTATTTCAGAAACTGACAGGGTCTTGACACCCTTGTAGAATAACATTGGCACCCCGTGGTCACGTGACGCCTCTCCTCCAATGGCCTCCTCGGGTGAACCTAGGGTTACAAGAAGCACTGTGAGGAGGAGAAATGGTGGCGATCCATCTTACTTTTCAATACAGACCTGACACTGGAGACTGTGGAGGCAAGATAGGGCCAACAATTCTGCAGACTATTACCGTTTACCTTATGGCTTACACGAGGCACAAAGGCACACACTAACCTTGTATTACCATCTGTGCCAAACAACATAAAACGTTTTCAAAAGCATTTAGGTAATTTTAAAACATAACAAGAAACAGAGTGACATTTTAAACCTCTGAGCTGGGGGAAGAAAGGAAAATATAGTCATAGTACTTTTATAAGGAGAATAAAAAAGCATGTTGTGGAAATGGCTTGTTAACGGGTTGCCACGCAGAGAAAAAAAAATGTTTCTGTTACAATATTATTCTACCAACAGGGCTGTCAACAGTAAATCTAATTTCCTGTGTAGCAGGTGAAAACATGGTGTGTGGCCCGCACTTTGGACCATTTTTAAAGTATTTCAAAAACAAAAATCCTCCTGCGTTGACAGGATAAACTGAGCTCCCCTTTCTACCTGGAGCGAAGCAGGAAAGAAAATGCAATTTTTCCTTCAACTTTTTTTTTTTTTTTCTGTGCATGTTGCAAGATAAATGAAAGGGCCGCGAGCTTCAAAAACCTGAAAAACCGGGCTGGTTTCTGTGCGTCCTTATGACCACGGTGTGAACTTTTCCTCGCAGGCTCATAATAATGGCTGCTGTCGGTGCTGCTGCAGGAACTCTGGTGAAATATGAGGGTCAGAGAGGAGGGACCGGCTGCTGGAAACAACGGCCTGGTGAGAAGCCAAGGCCGGGACTCGGGTGGACAGAAACCCGGGGAGGATGCAGCTAAGAACCCGCTGCTGCAGCTGCTGCACCACCGTAAATCAGACAGGTACCAGCGGGAACTATTTAGGAAACCATTAAGCACCAAGAGATAGATTTACAAGCCAAACAGAAATAATGTGTTAGTTTGGCAATAAAAATAATATTAATAATAATAATAATAATAATAGTAATAATAATAATAAAATTGAAATTTAAACTATTTTGTTTAGTGTGCGTTTTTCTCTGTTTCCCACATTTATCACAGCCGTCCACTTTAATAAAGATAGCACATCCTTTAAATAAATTAAAATAAAACTTAATTAGCACAATAAATCAAATACTGAATGCAATCCTATTTAACCTAGCTTAATCCAAAAATACCTAAATGTTTATAACTTTTCATCCCAATATTGTCATTATTATATTATATTAAATTGTCCAATATTATTTGGACTAAATTAAAGCAAACATAATCAGAACGCCTTTTTAAAACATAGACAAAACTAAAATTATGTCAAAAATGAAGCACGTGCAGCCGTGCAAACCAAACAGGCAAATCAGTGTAAAATGAGCCCTTAGCGCGCTCCTGACGCGCAGCCACGCTGCAGGCTGAAGGCAGGTCTCTTCCTTGAGTCTGCATGCGCTCATGGTGGCCGGCACGAGGTATCAGAAGGTTCTGTGGCTCGGTTCTCCACGACGAACCCGTGGCGACAGTCACAAATGAAAGAGCATCAAAAAAAAAAAAAAAAAAAGGGACAAAAGGCAATACTGGAGCTCGTTGCGCGCAGCCCTCGCAGAGAAAAATCGCTGTGTGTGTGAGTGCGTGTGAACTCTTCCTGAACCGAGATCTAAGTCATACGGTGATAAATCACCGCGCGACACACAAACTCCACCATTTACAACCAGGGAGCCTATTTCTGGCCCTGCTTACCTGATCCTCTCACGATGAATGCAGAGCACCGGGCGATATTTTCTCATTCAGCGACGAAATCGATCAAAGCTGTAATCCAGGGGAAAGTTTACAGGCAGGGCGGACTGCGTGAAGGAGCAGACTGCGCCCTGCCATGCAGCAAGCATTAGCAGGCACAAACCAAAAAAGAAGAGCCAAAGAGAATACCCCTTTTCCTGTTTCCCCCTCCTTCTCTCCCTTTTCCTTTTCTCCTTACTCGATGGGTAAACCGAGATTACAAAAGCAGGCACGAGCGCCCGGGTCACTAAGATAAGACTTATCTGGTCTCAGGACTGGATTTCTCCTCATGCTGCAACAGACAGGGGCTTCATAGCAATATTCACGTCAGCCAAGGCTTTGCTTCACTATGAGATCCTTCACCAGTACCATGCAGACACCAGTGAACTGCCCCGAACCAGAGCGTCACCATAGACAAGAAAAATTATGCAAATGAAGTAGCGCCTTGGAAAGGCAGTTCAAATCAAGTGGTTGCCTCTCCTCCTCCCCCAACCAAACTAGGCAGAGGTTCTATAGGAAAACAACAACAACGTTACATTTTTTACAAATATCTCAAAAGGTCATTTTCAAACAATTTATTGGAGACGTTTGGAAGATCCTGAAAAGAAAGGGTGACTACAAAGGAATAATCAGGGCCCTGAGCGTGCAGGATTTTTTGTTTCTTCTTAGAGCTTGTGTCCACAGCTTAATCAGTAACCTGGCTTTTTTTTTTTTTGCATATAATACATCGTTTTATCCCCCAACTTAAAAAAAAAAACCGCACACTTCTTTTTCGTCTTTATTTCTCTCCTTGCGCGGCTCTGAAGACAACAGTTCCATCTTGGATCAGAACTGCAGATCAAAGCTGAGCTGTCCGCGATATTAAAGGAAAACACCCCCAATAGGAGCAAGGGATGAAAAATGGCCAGAAGTTTCATCACGAAGGAAGGCAAAGCGGGAGGACGCGCAGCGTGGAACAGAGAGAGAGGGGGGAGAATGAGCCGGCAGCTTGAGGTGGACGGGGAGGGGGAATCCCTCTGTCCTTAGCAGGCAGAAAGAAAGAAAGACTGAGAATTAGATTTATGGTCCCCCCCTTCATCACAGCTGTAAACAGGAGTAAGAGCTTCTGCTCGTTTCACGATTCTAGGACCAAAAAATTCAGGAAAGGTACCGGCGTGGGAGGTGGAGTGGGAGAAAAATTCACACAGAAGGATTTTTTTTTTAGCTAACTTTGCCTTTTTCTTTCAAATCGCTTCCTCTTTGGATAATTATTTACTTCTTTGTTGCTAAAAACGCTGACTCGTCCTTCGCTTTAATTTGGCCCGGAGGAGAGAGGGCTGAAAGGCGCCGCTGCCGCGCGTAATAAGGCGGACACGGGGAGAAAGAAGCGACATGAGAGGAAACAAAACTAAAAATGTTGATAAAGAAAAAAAAAAAAAATATTTTCAAAGCTTCAGCGCAGCAGGCTGTAGCAGCTCCAAGCAGATGGCTTTCACAGAAAGTAGTTTTTGAAATGAGTAAAGGCACCGCTCCAAGAGCTGCGATTCCCCTCGTCACTTTTATGGTGACAAATTACACCACAAAGACAAGTGGAGGAGAAGGAATTATTGCTCTCGGGTTGGTCGTATTGCTGCTACACGGAAATGTTACAAGCCACGGGCTGCTTCTCAAGCCTTTGGAAGGCGTGTGTGGTACTTATTAGGAATTGAATAAGAATATCACCATCAAGCATTCATAACACAAATCAATAAAGATATATGGACTCACCAAAGGCAGCTCAGGGGGTTTCCGAGACCGGGGGGTGGCCTGAACTCATTGGGATGGGATTCTGCAAGGAGTAAAGGAAGAAATGCTTACTTTTATTGTTGATTATTTTTAAAATTACAAATAATTTTTTTCACGTGGAGCGTCAATTGTGTATATTTTAATACATGATTTATAAATATTCAAACTTCCTGAGCATTTATTAGTGAGGCTGAATAGGCCCTACCACATATATAAACTTTTATAAATAAGTTCCCTTAAATTGATCAGTTTGGTATTTTGAAAATACCATTTAAATAAATAAAAACCTCAGATAAAACCGAATGGCTTAAAGGCGCTTTCAATGCTTTAACAAATTAAACTATATATATAATTATTTTTATTATTTAGAAATTTGCACAAAAGGATGGGAGAATTAGTTGAATAAAATGCATAAATAAAAACACATATATGTTGGATTTAAAGCAACAATAAAAACATCAAAACAGATGACTATTACAGCTCAATTAACGTAAAAACACACTAATGAGGTAAAAATGAGTCCATATGCAAATAAAGTGTTTATTATTTTCCTGTAGCTTCTGAGCTTCTCCTCTCCATAGGAAAAAAAAAAAAAAAAAAAGAACGGATCGAACAGTCATTAGCTCGCGCTCACCATCTTCCCAAAGTCCCCGCGCCCATAAATCAAGCAGGAGCGCCGTGACCTCAGCCCGGTCCTGGATGGCACTCCGTCTTCCATTATATCCTCATTTCCCCCGGCGGAACCACACAACCCCAGCGCGCTCCCTAACTTTATTCTCCTTTTTTTTTTCTTCGTTTTATTTATGGAAATCGTCTTGATGTATCGTTTACGCACAGACATGCACATAAACCAGCGTAAAGACGCGGGGTGTTTGGTTTTATGGGACATGTTGAACCCTGAACCGCCGTGTACGCGCTCTGTTTGTTTGCTGGAAGTCCATAACCGGCTGCTTCATTCACATTTTGTCTCCAATTAGCTGCCTGAATTGTTTTATTTAACTATTTGTTTTATTGTGTTGCTCTGTTTTAAAAATGATCAGTGATGCGTTCATGGGACCATTGAGAATATAGGAAACGCCGAAGCCTTTACCCTCCTGATACACTTTAAGAGGTAACGCATGTGTTTAAAAATATACCAGCTCATATTCAGCGTGGTGGTACTTTTTATGATCAGATGTGCAGCATTCTTGATGGTTTCTCCTCCTATTTTTTTAAGATACCCCCCTCTTTTTTACTGACCTCTCGCGCGCGCGGCAATAACTCACGACAGTAATGAACAATCGGCGGAAATACCTCAAAATAAAATCCATCCTCTCAAAGCTCGGGCTCTGAGCATGTCCGCGTGGGAAAACATATCCGTCCGTGACAGCAGAGTACACATCCACAAGAAAAAAAATAATAAAAATACGAGGATCCTCTCCGCTCCAATCCACCCCACGCCTCTAGAGCGACTTTCTTTCTTTCTTTTTTTTTTTTTTTTTGCCCCCTCCTCTATCAAAAAACAAACAACAAAGCGAGGACTCCCCTCTCGGAACGCGGGGGTTAGCAGCATATAATCTGCATCATATGGCCACAGACCGGGGCTCCGGGTTTCTTCCCTGTGCCATAACACGGCGCAGTATTATGCGCCCTGCTCACGTGACGCAACGTCAACTTAAATCCCTTTTATTTGAGCCCGTGAATCATTAATGGAGGCAGTCATTGCCCCTTGAGGAGATCGGTTAGGAGGGGAGGGAAAAAAAAGGAGAAGAAGAAGAAGAGAGGTCTATGTGACACTGCAATGGATCTGGCAAAGAAGCGCAAAGCCTCTCAGTGAGAAGCAGCTTTTCCACGTGTCGCCCATTCAGAGCTAAAGGCTGCTCTGACAGTTTTAGAGTGCCATATATTCGGTGTCAGTTACAGCAGCTGAAAGAGCGACACCCGCTCCTCTCCGCACAGATTCAAGCGGAACACAAAAGATGACAAACTACAAGACAGATGACACACACACACACACACAAAAAAAAAGCACAATTTTAAGGAGCTATCAGTACTTTGGTGCGTCTTCTCCTTCTTTTTCTTTATGCTCTCGGGGTAAATTTCACAGCACTCTACTCAGTGTCGCCCCCCCTGTTCTGATGTTTGTGCATCACTTACTGCGAGGTAAATAAAAGCCCAACGTAAGACGTTCACCTGCCATGCGCACGGGAGGGGCTGCGCGTCCCGGTGGTCGTGGAGCCAAAGAGGAAGGAGGGAGGGCTGTCAGTCAGCAGTGGGCGGAAAGTGGAGGTGAGGGAACCAAAGAGAGGCTGCTCGACCCCGCTGATCAGTACATGGACCCCCATTAGACCAACATGTACTTACAGATTTCCTACATCTAGCTGAGTGATGGGGGGGTTGAAAGAATTCTGGTGCCGGCTTTAGTTCAGGGAGTCTCTTATAATTAAATGAATGAATGATTATCAAGACTGGCCACGTGCGCTGCTTGGATGATGTTTGGCTTCTGGCGCATGAATTTGCCAAAAAAAAAAAAAAAAAACAATCCAGAGGGGGTTCTCTCCTCCCCGCACCGTTTGGTGCTTGTTTTCCATCAACACCGAGCATCGGCGGACGTGGAAGAAAAAAATCACACCCCAACTATTAATCACTGCAGGGTGGACACAGACACAGAGCCCCACTCCCACATTTGAGCCTTTGTCCTCTGCAACCGAGACAAACTTTGAGTCGACAGCTCAGTGAGATCTTATTTATGCACTTAAAATACTACTAATAAAAGAAACTTGAGACGAGAAGAAGCAACAGGAAGTTGTTTAAGGGACCTCGGAGAAATTATGAACTTGTAAATAATGACATGTGAGTTGTGTGTCTTTGTTTGGCAGAGTGGCAGCACATGTCCGGGAACCTTTCGCCACCGCACCTGAACTTTCCTCTGACCCGGACAAAAACACGGAGGGCTGAGTGGGGGGTTATTTGTGCCCCCAAATGAGGAGAGGACAGAAATCCAAGACCCCACTGAGCTGTTACCTCATGTCTTTTGCGTTTATGGCAAAAACGATCATTTTCACAAAACACCTGATAAATTATGTTTATGAGTGTTCAGGTGTTTTTATACAAATTTAAACTTCTTATCGCTGTCAGCAAACAGAGGGGGGTGAGAGAAAGGGGGGGGGGGGGGGGGACCTCTGGATGTTGGCCAGACGAAGGTTCATATCTTCCCACAATGTTGACACTCGCAGCTCTTAACAGTCGGGTTTGGGTTACCGAACCTCTCAGCCGAAGATAACTGCCTTCAGCGAGCTTCTCCACCGGCCAACATCAAGACTAATGCGAAATTCAACGCCTGTAGCTGAGTGGAGCCATCTCTAATTAACACACACACACACACACACACACACATACACACACATACACACACACACTCCTGTGCAATACGGTGACAGACAAGGACAGAGGAAATGTTTGCTTCAAGGTGGTCGTAATAAAAACAAGTCTGAGTTTTTCTTGTTGGAATGGCTCTTTATTTTGTCTGAAAATACATCAGGCGACTCTTACGCACAAAATATAGAGCCAATTTTAATAATAATAATAATCTTTATTATTATTATTATTATGGGCATTTTTTTGGTATTTTTTTTATTAAACATAAGTCCCACACTGAGTATTTATATGCTCCAAGTTTAACTTTTTATCATAAATAATATATTATTTTCACTTGCAGTCTTCATATAAGTATAAAAAAAGGCTTTTTAAATTAAAAAAATATTATTTTTAGAGGCATGGTTGAAGATAATAACTGGGGAAAAAGTGGATTTCTACTTTATTGTTCTTTATGGTAGCTTGAAAAAATAATGGTAGAGTGTATTTATGGATTTATTTATTTATTTACTTTTTTTAATGGACCATGTGTAGTTTTTAGAGCAGTCAAATTAAATACTCTACTTTGGACTCTGGTCCAGCATCTAGTCAAAATGTAAGCAAACTACGTTTTAACACATGAGTAGCACAAATACAAAACCAATACGCAGATAACACACACTTTTATATATATATATATATATATATATATATATATATATATATATATATAATTTATCTTTTAAACTGTTTAAGACGATTTTGAATATAGTCATTTTGGGTTTTGTTTTTGATTTATACATACAATAATATCACACAAGGCTGCATTTTTGACAACAATAACTGCACATGAGCAACTATTTGACACTATCAGTATTACATTAATACACAATGTAAACGTTAAAGCGTAGGCTTTATTTGATGCTAAGTTTGTTTCCAGCCACACAACATGTAAAAGAATAGTCAAATTTACTCACAAGTCATGTCAGTGTGTCCAGAGCTGTGTCAGAGGAGAGGAGCTCTGCACCCTGCAGAGCATCACTTCAAATGAAAATCAGTCAGATTTTCACATCTATTTCTGAGCCCCCGGGACATTCATTATTTAGAGAGTCACGTGAAGGAGAAAATTAAAATTTCAGCACTCTGAAAGTGACCTCTATTTTCGAATCAAACGACATGAAATCTGTAATGCGTTGGACGTTTTGGCATCTGCGCAAAATTGGTGCCAATCTGCTCCTGAACCTTTTTACTTTATGTGTGTGTGTAGATGCATTTAATTTCATATATTTGCAAACCCCACACAAGCTGCCTCACATTGTTTACTTTGTGTTTTTATTTGTTTACTCATCAAATAAAGCTAATTTACGGCTGTGTGCATTGTGAGCCCATCAGTTACAAATGTGTTGACATAATCCTTGAGTTTAGATCAACAATGCCAACATGTGCCAAAAAATTACATCTACAACAGAACACGGAGCTCCCAGCATGTTCCTGCCCTCTTCTGGGCCTGCCAGCAGCGCCTCTGTGATAAGCTCACCGAATCATTTTGGGCTCAGTTTCACACTTAAACACAGTTATTGTTTCCACGCGGTTTCTGGGTAAACCTCAGACGAGATGAGAAAGGAGCTGACGGAGGTCTCAGAGCTGATGTATGGTCTGGACACTGTGTGTGTCGAAAGGTCAAGGGTCAGAAGAAGTTCTCCGAGGCCCTGATTGGCCAGAGCGGTCCGTGTCCCTTAGCTGAACTCTCTCATTGTTTGGATGGGGCAGGTAGTGACCAACATTCACACTCTGGTGATCCAAGGTTGGCAGAATTCTTCTCACAATGACTAAATAAAACAAAATGCGTCGGATAGATATAGCGTTTCTGATTCTGCGGTGAAATAACCTGACATGCTTCTCCATTTCATGTTAATTCAAGAAAATACGCATGATACCCATGCGAATCTGGAATCAGGATAAGTGAACGATGAAAACCCCAACAGGGTGAGACAAATGTGTGCGCTCTTATGACGTGCGTAAAAGATTAAGCTTGATTTTGAACAGATTTACGCATTTATAACACGATTTTTCCCGGTTAAGCTCTCCATTTTGCATTAAAACACGCAACATTCACCTGTTTAAAAATGTATGCAGACATTCTAAAACTTGAAGAAAACTAAATAAGCCACGTAAAAAAAAAAAATGCAACGACGCACGCAAGGATTTTGACCGTTTAATTTGGAAATTACGCACGGCAATTTAAAACACGCGTCTAAGATTTATCCATAAAGCGTAATAAAAATGCTATATGCCCATCATGGTGTTATGTTAAAATGTATAATATTTCAAATTAACTTTTAAATGAGGCACAAAGAGCCGCGGAGAGAGCGTGTAAACAGTAGGCTGTTGCGTTCAAGTGAAATCAATCCTGGCTATGACAAAAACATCCAAAACCATGTCAGCCTCGTGAGTGAAGCACATTTTTTATTTCACAAGGACAGATTGAGCCTATAGCCTGCATTACAACGGTCATTACTGAGACAATACATACAAATATTCACAGTTTAGAACAGCACAACATAGGACGCACTATAGAGCACAAAATGAAACTACAACAGCGACAAGGTGGACGAAAACGCTTTTCCTCATTGTGCCTTCATTAGATTTGTCTATATACATAAGATGTAGAAGTCACCTGGACTACATTCAACAGTAAACCACTCAAACACACGAACTAGAACACAGCTCCTCTGACTAACGCCAAAAAAAAAAAAGAGCCCGAGCGGTTTTCTAACACTGAGCTTCGCTAAATAACTTTCAAGTATCGCAATTTCCATAAGCAATAAACAATAAAACAATATTCTAAATAGAAAAAAAACGAGTTCAAAATGACCTTCACCTCACTTGTTTTTTGTTTTTTTTAACTGTAGTGAATACACTTTGCTCCAAGTCCTATGAATGTGCGCAGGATTTTTTTTTTTTATTATTATTATTTTTTCCATAATAAACAAATATATAAACACTTCAGTTGCCATCATGGCAATTAAACGTGAATTTCAAGCTTATATGAAGAGGACGACCGCGGAGGGAAGAGGGTACAAAGGACAAGGCAGAGGCCCAAATGTGCAACAAAGATAACACCATGTGTGTGTAAAATACTGAAACTCGGTCCTTCAAATTCCACTTGTGTTGTTTTCCATCTCAGTCTGGATTTTCAGAGGGGGAGGAAGGGATTTGGGTTCATCTGTGCACTATAGACCTGCAGTGCACGGCGTGGGGACGAGCTGCTGGCCTGTTTTGATCTGCTGCTGCTGCTGTTGCTGCTGCTGGGCCCCGGAGGCTGAGGCCGAGCTGGACGAGCGGATCTTAGTGTTGGGAAGCTTGTGCTCCTTTTTCCACTTCATCCTCCGGTTCTGGAACCAGATCTTGACCTGGCGCTCGGATAGGCACATGGTGTGCGCGATCTCCACGCGCCTGCGCCGGGTCAGGTAGCGGTTGAAGTGGAACTCCTTCTCCAGCTCCAGAGCCTGCTGGCGGGTGTAGGCAGTACGGGACCTCTTAGGCACTCCTCCAGTGTAATTGGCATTGACTGGGAGGGAAAAGATAGAAGCCACACACACACACACACACACACACATACGCACGCACACACGCACAGGCAGGTGTTACAGGAAGGCTGCTTTATTCCAAACTCTGGGATATTAAAGCCACTGGACACGTGAGCGCAAAAATGACAGCACTTCTCTGGTTTAATGCAGCCGTTTTGTTTGCTTCACCCTAATGTGGAGATGCACGCGCGCTCTCATCCGGGGACGGATCAAGCTTTTGAAATGATTAACAAAACAGCGGGGCGGAATATAACAGTTTGGCTTGACTCCAGTGCTTGGAGGTAGTTTGGGTTAAAAAGCAACAAAGGCGCATGGCCCCGACAGACGAACACAGGCAATAAAATTTACGAGGGTCCTTAATTACCGACCCTGCTGCTCGATAGTCGTAAATTGCTGCTGTAAGGGCTGCTACTAGTGCTGCCTGAATTGGCTCGCGTGCGTTCCAGCATTGCTTCTCAGTGGTGTTTGGACGGCGACTCACCGCTGTTAACGTGCACCTTCTTCATCCACGGATAGACCACCGGCTCTTTGCCCTTCGCCACGCCGGGATACACCTCACCGGCGAGGCTGCAGTCCTTGCTGCCATTGGCCCCTGCGCCACCGTCTGGCGCGGCGGAGAGGCGAGGACCGTGGCTCTGTGGAACCGGCTGCGGCTGTGCGTGGTGCCCGTCGCCGAAGTCGTCGAGTCCGGCGGCGGCGGGAACGTTGCCGTAATCGTAGCCCGTTTCCGTGTAGTTTGACCTCGGATAGGTTGCCTCGTCGTGATGGGAGAAGCCCGTATCTTTTGGCCGCTCGTAGTAATCACCATGGCTGGGGATGTATCCGCTCTGCTGGTACTCGTCGCACGGTGGGAAGGAAGGCTCGATGTAGTTGGAGTTTATCAAGTAGGAACTCATGGTCATTAATTTGTGAAGTGCAACAATACTAATTTTTATCGCGCTGTCGTTTTTCTGATCTCCACAAAACCCTCCTACTCCCCTGTCAAATGTACAAAGTTGCCTGGTCACGTGCGCGGACCCACCAATCACCGCCTGTCCTGTGGGCATCTTGTAAACAGGAACCAATGGAAAGCATGGCACTGGTACCAGCAGCGCGGCGCGGACTGGCTTACGTTGGCGTTTCCCTTATTAAATTAGAGTGTTACAAAAAAAAAAAACGGGAAAAATTTGATCAACTAAGTTGTTTACTGCGTGGAGAAAAACTTGTGTGGGTGAGGCTCTGCTGCTCATATGAAACACAGAGTGCATGTTCTGATGGGAGGGAGGGGGGAGAGGGAGGGGTGCTCACAAACCAAACACCTCCTTCAACAAACATAAATCCAGGCTATTGGAAATCTGTTGCATCCTTTTAAAAAAAAATCCAGATACTGAAACAATAAATATCAACATGTATTGCTTTGATCAAACTATTTCAAGCAAAAAAATGTGCTCGTCCTGCCTGCAAGCATCACGCACAGACGCGTCGCTTCTCTGCGGACATGCAAACGTTCACAAAGCTTGCGCATCTTTCAAATCCTGAATGATGTTGCTTCATAAACATCAGGAAAAGTCTCACTTCACGAGCCGCATATTGCTCATTGTGTTGCTTTGAATGTGGCACTTTGGACGTTTTTTTTCCCCCAGAACAAAACAGCAACCTGCAATCACTCAAACAAATTATTTGTCCTGCAATGCAACAATTATAAAACCCATGGTGCTGAAAGTCATGCTCTGCATGCACCACTGCGTGCTGTCTGTTACTGAGAAGCACATCCGTCGGACAAACACTCGAGGACACCTTCTTTGCATTTCAGCCGGATGCCAAAACAAATATTTAAATCTAGCACACATCAGTGACAGTGAAGGTCCAGCTTGAACAAATCTGTGCAACAAGCTCAAATGTGGCACGCAAATCTATTTTTTTTTTTGTTTGTTTACCTCTTAAATTAACGTGAAACTTCATTTGGAAGAGATGCAAATACAAGAAAACTAATAAAATACTGTGTTGTCATGTAACAAAATGCTGGCAATAACAGCAATAATAACAATAATAATATCATTTTGTTGTAAATTGATGAAAAGCATCACCATATTTCCCTTTTTTTTTCTCCTCTTTCTCAGTGAAACTTCAACAAAGTGTCATCATGTTGTGTGACTACATCTAAAAGTCTCTGACCGTGCTCTTTAGTCATCACGTCCATTTTCCTCTCCACGCCCGACGTGGCACGCCGTGTCCGTGTTTCCTGCAGGATTCTGCAGCAGCAGCTCCTCCTCGTGCATCTGATCCACTCTGCCCTCTCCATCAAGGCCTCTGCAAGCAGAACCAAAGGGGCCAAACTTAACGGAAATATTGAAAGCTTTCTCCTCTCGCTTATTTCTTTCTTTCTCCCTTTTCTTTCTCCCCCTCCTCCGCACTGCCTCCCTATTCTTTTCGCTCCCCTACACACAGAGATAACTTCTGCCTGACCCCGAGGTGACACCGTTTCCATTTTGTTTCTTATTAATCTTGCCCATTGACAGTCTTTGTTAAACAACAAGGCGTGCCCCCTCTCTTTTTCCTTCCAAAGAGGCGACATTTTCATATCTGTTAGACGCGGTGACCTGGGGTTCACCCCGGACTTGGACTTCAGTTTTTGCAGGCTCTGTTAAACTCTGGGGAGATAGTAGGGGGTGGGGGTTACTTAACGTGGGTCAGCTCCCCGGGTGGGTCGTCAGAGGTTGTTTTTAAAACCGTGCAAAAGACTTGGAACGGGTTAAGAAGCTTCGACGCGCTGCTACGAGATAAAATATCTGTGCGTAAAAGTGGAGGGTTTTTTTTATCTTGTTTTTGGAGCACTTATCTTAAAAAAACTAATTGGGTGAGAAGTATTGCATGGTTCCATGGTTTTATTTTTACTCTTTTCATGTTAGCACTCTGTTGCTCTGGTGCTCCCTTCTGACTGTAAATGCTCGAGATTCATTGTACTGGCGCGGCTAAAGACGACCACCCGAGAGGCAATGTGTCACCATATTGTCAGCGGGTAAGACGACTTTATGTGACATCTAAATTCACACTCTTCTGCTACTCTCTCAGTGTATAAATACAGTCTGAGTCCGCTCGGCTATTATCCACTTACTGTAAATTAACCCTGTGGGAACAGCTGACGCGTTTTACGGTTATTCTACTTGTTGCTGATATTGTTCAATATTTAAGCCTGAATAAATCTCACTAAGATTATGGCTAAAGCATTCGGTGCGTTAGAAGGACTATTTTAGATAACAGCTCTGGTATTGCCTGTTATCTAGCTCAGGCCTGCAGAATGCGGTGCGTTTGGGCACAGTAGCTTAAAAAAAATATCAAAGCAAGCCTCACCAAAGCGCACCAAACACATATGAGATAATTAAGCATCAGCATATAGAAATAAGCTCGCTATCTTGGTCATTTTGCATCATATTTCAAGTACATGTTGCTCCTGGTGAGAAGAGAAAAAGCAGCAGGCTGAGATTTTTAGTTCAGCGCGAGCGCACGCAGAGTGTGTGTGCAGAGTGAAGGTCTGGTTAGGCGGCATGCATCATGCTGACAGTTTACTGTAAATTTAGATTATCAGAGAAGTGCTGTGACGATGGTGACAGATTGCAGATGGCTCTCACAAGGTCTCCTGTCTGAGTGAGAGCTGTGAAGAACGGCGCAGCAAAACATCCGAGATGTGCCAAGGATCAGAAAACACACACAACTCACACACACACACATTTCACGCGTTTATAGAAACACAACAGTTCGAGTTAACTCTGATCAAACTTTTTCTCCTCTTGCACTTTGTGCCACTTGAAATTCTTCTCAGCGCCATTGAAACAACAAATGCGACCCTGATTTTTCTCCATGCAGTTGCGTGAAAATGTTTCAAAATCAAATGTAAGAAAATCACACACGAGCTGTACAAACAATAATATATATATATATATATATATATATAACAATCAGAATTTGGGCGCAAAATCCTGTTTAAATTAACACATTTAAGTTTTTTTTTAGGTAAAACTCGTCAAATATCAAGTCCACATTAAAGCAAAAATAATCAGATTGTTGCAAAAATAAATGTGTTCTGTTCTAGAAATTATAAAATAAAAGATAAATGAACTCAGACAAAATTATGAACAAATCGGAATTAACTTTTCATTAAAAGCATCCAAACATTAGGCCAACAGATCATAGGAAACAACTTTTATTCATTTGTTTTCAAACATATTTATATGGAAATATGATGTTTGGGGAGGTGCTGAACTCCAGTGTGTAAAAATGAGCAGATCATCATAAGTTAGGGCAGTTGATAAAATCTGTTTTTTATTAATTTATTGCACTTTTAGTTGATTACATCCAAAGTTCCTCTGATCAAAATAATTTCTGAATGTATTTGGTCTTTTCAGGTGATTTGTAACACGTGGTCTGTTTTGACTTGAATTAAAAAAATTATAGTTGTGTTTTGAACTGTAAATAAAATGTATTATATTATTTTTCTTTGTTGTAAACTAATAAAGAGTTATATAACACCATGCTTTTGTTCTGGACATTTTTTGGGTTAGTTTTTCTAATTAAAATTTTATTCCTTCATAAACTTTATCTGTTTTCGCAGGATTTATCATGTATGAAATATATATTTGTATGTCCTGAACGCCACCAGGCCTTGAGGAGAAATCAAAGAGAGAATTTCAAACATTTCGGATCAAAAATGAGATTTTTCTCCAGCCCTTCGTGGCGCGCAAGGAAAACATCTGTGCCGTTTCTAGTTTTGAAAAGGATTCTATTCAGCCGATCAGGAAGAGAGGGGCTAAATGTTTTTTAAGGGATCTGGGGGCTCGTTCTGGAGAGGTGGGGGCGGCTGTGGGCCTTCTCATTACCCTGTGACCGGGTCGAGAGAATCAATCCTCCAAATGCAAATTTTGCCCTCGTCCCTAAACATATCAAATGCAATTTATTCAAAGGAAATTCACCAATCAACCGCCCTAATAAAACGCCAGCCACTCAATCTTGTTGCTTGGAAGAAGGGAGGGGGGGGGGGGGAAGCTGCACCCCTCCACCCATCCTTCCCGGGTCTCAAACGCGAGGTCATTGCGCTTCCAGGGTTCACCTGGAGTGCACCGTGCAACATATGTAATGCAAAGCTATTCTGCCTTTTGTGTGAAGAGTCAAGATCGCCATTATAAGGCGAGAGAACAGATGACGGAGGCTTGTTCAGCCTCTAAACTCTTGACCCCAAATTTTCCTCCTCCTCTGCAACTATCTCCCCCTCATCAGTCCCAGTCCCGGAGAGATATCTGCCCCCCAACTTCTCGCATTACTCCCCTCATAAAAGAAAAAATAACTCATCTTCCAATACTAATTGTCGTTTCTACCAATTTGATAAGATGAGATGCCAGCGCAGAATGCAATCGAGTCTCTGGGTTGTTTCCAGCGACAGTAGCATCCAGCTCACGGCTGACAGGGTCCTAAAATATGCAAATCATTCATTAGAGTCAGAGCAAAGCAGAGCAGAGGAGGAAGAAGCCTTTGTTGGAGGCAACTCTTCAGGTTTCACTCCCACTCTGTCCCTCCACGCTCCGTCCTCCGGTAACTTCCTTTATGAGCTTTGTGCTTACAGGCAAACGCCAAAAGAAAACCTGTCGTTAATGTGAGAGCGTGCAGTATTTTTACTTTTTGGACTGTGCGTGTTAGAGACCGTTTTTTCTCGGTCTGCATGCAGCAGAGTGACAGTGAACTTGGCCTAAAGCGAGCTCTGCTGGTGGCTCCGGGAGGATGCAGATTCATCTTCCTGACCTCCAGATGAACCTGCGCAGAGCTCCCCTCTCTCCCTCTATCTGCCTGGCAGCGCGCCGCACATGGGGCCCTGTCGAAATGTCTCCTTTTGAAATATTGGCAAGGGGTTTCAGGTCCAACTATCCGCACCCTCAGAACGTCCTGTTGTATTTTCAGTGTTCAAAATGAACCTGGGAACAAAAAAACGTGATTTTTGTTGTATTCTAGTTTGAACAAAGAGCTGCATATCTCACGTTTAATAAGATTTTATCAGTGATGCTATTTTGTATCTTGATGAGTGAAATCTATCAATTGCATTATTAGAAAATCGATGATTGAAATTGAAGCTGAGAAATTCACCATCAAAGCGCAGAAGCTCCTGTCGAATGCGCAAAAGGTTCAAACCTGCTCATTACATTTATAATTATATTGGCTTTGTGATCAAAGCATTTTAAATGAAGTTTAGAAAAAATATGTTTCTCTAGCATTAACTTAACCAACACAGACGGTTTAGGTTTCAGCAAAATATATTTATGTGAAGAGTTTGTTGAAAATCGTCAAACCCAAGGAGAAAGTCTTTGTGCTCGTGTTATTCTTTTCTGTCAGGGAGTCTAAACGCGACACAACTGCTCTGGCAAAAGAAAACAGGCAGTTAACAGAAAGTGAAGATGGTTTCTTATTTTAAAAATACAATATCTAAATCTTACAACACGCTAGCCTTGCGTTTTTACGCGTCGTCGTGCATTTTTGTGCGTAAAAGGACGGATAAATTCGTGCGTAAAAAGACGGATAACCCAGGACGCACTGAGAAACACGTAGATAAAATATAAAATAAAGCTAAATCAGAAAGACAATGAAAACTTTTTCCACAAAAAAATTATAGCATATATATTTCTTTATTTATTTCATGCATTTTGGGATCCGTGTCCACTGGTGACCGGTCTCGCCCCTTCTCTGATCCGACAAGAGGTCACCACAAAGCGAGAGTGACTTTTTAAGAGGTCATCTGAACTTTTCAACCCCACAAAACACACAGAAAAAAGACAGGACTGACACAAAACGGAATTCCTGTTAAATGTTTCCCTGCAGTTGTTTCTTCCCGTGTCGTGTTTACTTGACACTGTTTACAACCTGCCCTAAAGTCCACAGCCACGCTGGCAACACGAGGAGCCCGGGCAGAAACAAGCTCCAACTTTTTTTTTCATTCTTTCTTTTAATATATACCATTTTCAGAGAATAAAGCTACAACTTTCAAAAACACAAAAAATAAAACAGCAGCGCATGCACAATCCAATCAGACTTTAGTAGCTGTAAATCTGTGGGCCTGCACGAGCGCTTAACTTTATCAAGCAAAATCTACTGTGGAAAATCTCTGGCTCACGCTCTGTGACTTGTGCAATGTGATAAAACGACAAGTTTGTGGGGGTTGGAAATGGACACAGCGATAATTATCCAACATGTAAAAATGGATTATGAATTACACCACAGATGGAGGGAAACAAGTTACACAGGGAAGGAAGCAATTAAATAGCCATGAGCCGGACCCAACCCTGCGCAACATCTGCCGGGTCCAGTATTCAGCACTCCACAACTGACAAATTAGTGTAATGGACTAATAGGGACGGATAGAGAGGGAGCGAATACAATAATACGGCTGTTTAACACAGGGGGTGGCTGCTCTCCTGGCTTTCTGGCTACCGGTTAGTCTGGAGAAACTTACCCAGAAACGAGCTCTTCATCCCGAGGAGCGTCCGGTTCACTCTGAGGCGAACAACAGAGAAGGTCTGCAGCGGTCAAGCAACACTTAGAGGCTGCACAGAGAGAGTCAGACGAGGCTTCGCCGTCACTGCGATTATATGTTATGTGCAATATACTGTCAACTCCCCAAAACCATAAAACTTACTTTAATGGCCACCACGTGACCGTTTATGGCCAGTGAGCCTATCTGGCCGCTCTCCGGATGATTTTTACGATCTAATTCATAGACAAAACCCCCATTCATTTAGCACCCAAATGTCAGAGAGCCTGAATCGGCCCCTAATAAAGTTTACAGCCAGAAAAAAAAGTCGAGCTAATTCTCTGGGAATGGCTCAGGAGGCAGGAGGGGGACACCCCCCCCCCCCCTACACAAGCTCGGAGCGCGCAAGGCAGCCAAGGTGAGTGAAAGCTTTCATGTGCAGCGAGACCTGTTGAATTCAACCATGTTCCACCTTTTTATGAGCAACTTAAGGATTTTACGCAACATTTAGCACAAGTTGAGAAAAAAAAAAAGCAAGCAAGTGGATGTTCCAGTAAAAAGTTTATTATCACGGCCATCACCACCATGAGCATCATTATCATTATTATAATAATAATTATTATTATAGCATATTTGAACTTCCAGTCTTTGAAAAAAAACATTTACAAAAAAAAAAAAAAAACATCACTATGAAGTCATACATTTAGATATTTAGGCAAAAAGGGGATTTTACTGTGGGACCTTTCCACATGAGATACAGCGAGGAAAAAAAATAAGAGACGAAATCAGCTTTTTTTTTTTAAAAAGATGCTGCGCCCAGGTGAGCAAGTCAAATCCTGCGGAAAAAACAAAGAAAACAGCGACTGTACACACACAAGGGTGAGGCTCTGTTCATACATGTACTCTCTTTATCTCACACACACGCACACACGATGCTTATCTGGCTGGTTCTACTTCTGGAAGCAAGTTTTCTGACAAGTTGGCACAATACATCAAACAAATAAATACATACATATAATATACATTACATACAGAGAGAGAGAAAAAAACACAAACCTTCTATTTATTATTTGGCTGCAGAGTGCATCAACTGGAGACGTTTTCAAGCCTTTTTTGTTACTTTTTCCTCAAGAAATAATTTAAACAAACATGTATTTCCATTTGTTTTCTCTCTTTTTTCCCCTAAATCTAAACATAACTGTACATGATGATTTTTTTTTCACTCACATAATCATTAACACGGTGAGAATATAAAGGAAATAATACATAATGCTGTTGCAGGACCCAACAGTCTCTGCGCTTTTTTTTTCATTTGGAATAAGAGAATTCATCCCTTTTTTTAAATTATTTGTTGTTGTTTTTATTTATTCGTGCTCGTTCTCAGAGGTGTGAGCATCAAGGCCTGTAGAGTCCCCCTCCTGCAGCCGCCATGCTCATGCTTTTCAGCTTGTTGTCCTTCTTCCACTTCATCCTGCGGTTCTGGAACCAGATCTTGATCTGTCTCTCTGAGAGGCAGAGTGCGTGGGCGATCTCGATCCTCCGCCTGCGGGTCAGGTACCGGTTGAAGTGGAACTCCTTCTCCAGCTCCAGAGTCTGGTAGCGGGTGTACGCGGTTCTGGCTCGCTTCCCCTCCGGTCCAGACAAGTCTTTGACAGAAAGAAGACGCATGGGAGGCAAATCAGATGCAGCAAGGCGCAATTTAAAAATTCAGCATTAATTCAGGAAAGATGGCGCTGCGTTGATTTTGAGCACGTTTCTGTGCAGGATATAAACATTTAGGTGAGAATTTAAAGCTGAATTGTTCAATGAAATTAGACAAAACTTGAGTTTGGATTGGGAGAAAAAAAATACAAGTCTTTTACAAACAACAGGTTGGAGATTCTTGTGCAGATTAAATTGTATTTTCCTCATATTTTATTACAGTTTTACTAATTGTGGCAATATAAGAAAAGCATAATTACATTATCATACATTAACTTTGCTTTTGTGTGTCATTTTTTCTTTTGTGATTCAGCCAAACAAGTGAGAGGCGCATTTTTGCGCATTTTCCGTTCAAACTTACACATTCCAAAGTCAACCTTTATTTAGTTGAGCCTGAAAGTTACAAAAGATTCGTGGATAACGCAGCGCCAGCTCTCCAAACGAGACACAAAATCAATAGAAGATCATTAAACCGAGCAGTTTACCGTGACTTATGTGGAGTTTTCTCATCCACGGGTAGATCTGAGGCTGCGTGGAGTCGCTGGCACTCTGAGGGGTGGCTGTGGGTGCGCTTCCCGCAGCTTTTTCCTCCTCCAGGGGGGAGGCTTTACTGGACACACAGTCCCGGCTGAGCAGCAGCGCGCCACCTCCCACGCCTCCGTTGGAGCTGGAGCACGGCGCGGGGACGGAGTTCTTCATGGCTCTGTGTTGAGGCTGCGTCTCGGTGACGGGCGACGAGCTGCTGGCCACCGAGGCGCAGGGGAGAGGAGGCTCGGGTGGGGGCGACATGGACGAGTTGGCCGTGCTGTTGCTGCCGCCGTTGGGCTGGTTGTAGCTGACGGGCTCCACGGAGGCGGGGGCCGCCGCCGAGTGGCTCGGGGAGTAGCCCTGCGTCCGCTCAAAGTGTCCTCCCCCGGTCCGGCCGACTGTCAGGTCCATGCCGTTGTAGCCATAGCCGTACCTGCCGGAGTGCATGGCGGCCGAGTCTCTGTACTGCTCGTTTTCCGAACTATGGTCTCCATAATTATGTAACTGAAAGTCCGCGCCGTTGGGATAGCGACCGCAGAATGAGTTCACAAAATAGGAGCTCATTTGTTGACACTTCCACCGCTTTGCCGCTTGCAGGTTGTTGTTGTTGTTGTTGTTGCTTTTAGGACGTAAACAGCATAAAACCCGCGCTCTTGATTTGTGGCTCTTATGGTTTAGCGCGTCCTATAGCACCCCGCGCACAATTTATGATGAATTATGGAAATGAGTGGGACATGGACTTGATTCTCTCTTACGTAGGCACCCAAATATGGGGTACGAGGCAGAGTCACGTGCTTTTGTTGACCAGTCGTAAATCCTGCCTGGTGACCTCCAGAGGTAAACTCGTGCGCGCAGGAAAAGCAGGGTGGGATGGGGAGGGGGAGGAGGGTGTGCGCGCGCCGCCTCCCCCAGTCCTCCTCCTCCCTCCCTCCCTTCTGTTTGGTTCAGGGCAGACTCCGAGGCAGGGCTGAGGTGGTTTTTCCAACTGTCGCGCTGCGCCATCCTCTGGCGCAACTGTTGCACTGACTGTCTGCGGCGCTTTCTGAGGCGTGGGCTCCACACGGGGGTCATCCAGAGGTTAACGACCATTGCGGCAAAACACACACACACACACACACACACACACACACACACAGAGACTCCTAAACAATACAACAAGTGACATGCTGAGAGCGCAATCTCCGCGATGATGGTGTGTATAGAAAGAGGAATAATTCGATCAGAATCTGTTTTGCGCGTTGTGATGCGCGCCGGATGGAAACACCGCAGCTCTAATAGAATCAAAGCTCATTCAGAAGAGCACTCCGCTATTCCTCCGTTTGTTTGCCTTTTATCTCTCTCCTTATAATCATAAACAACTGAGCGACTGCATGTGGAAACTAATGGATACACGTCGGGGTAAGAAATGTGACGCTTAAAAAACAAAACTCAATAAAAGCAACACAGACTTGGGGTTCAGGACCGACTTTTATGTCACTTTGAAAACTTAATAAGCATAGAGGCTTCATATGAGCACGAGAAGAGTTTATAAGCAGGTTAGAACTAAACAAAGTGTAGGAGTTTTAGATGAGAGCTGTGTCTCAGGCCGTGTGGACGCGCGAACTTATTTCCGTCTCATTTAGACGCGACTCCGTCATTCTGACTTTTAAACTGTCTGGGGCTTTTATTCGTTTGTCTTTTAAGACTGAAATAATATATATGTTTAAATAAGAAACTAAAGGCGACATTGTCTCAATGTGGAGTCTAAAAAAAGGCTGAATGAAGATGCTTAAATGGAAGTTTTGAATATAATTGTGGTTTTAAACGGCGCCTTGGATCCTAAAAATGCCAAAAGAAAAAATATATATAATTTCCAGTCAGCTTTGTAAAAGCTAGTGTTCAACTAAATACACCATACTTAGATTTTTAAACGTTTTAACAAACGCTGTCCTCATTTATTGTTGCAAAATTGTGAAATGCTCCTTTACTATTTAGACTATATAATAAAATTTGCCTCATGTTTAAATGTTTTGAATCCGTTGCAGAGGTATGATCCTCCAACTTCATTTAGCCCACGTTAATGAAATGTGTTTATGCAAATAAAAAACTGCTCAAAATAAATAAGAAACACACGTTTTTATATTTTTTTATGACGTTTTTAGACGCATGCAAAATCCAACATTTGCACAAAAGCTGCTCTAGACATGAAATGGTTTCAGCTCAGATGATGCAGTCAAAAGGAATCAAACAAAATCAAAAAAGAGAACGAGCTCAGAGTTTGACGCAGGAGTGAAGCCTCCATAAAGCCGAGCACGGCGCTGCGCGTGGAACTCCCCCGTTTGCTTTTCTCTTTGAGGAATTTTTATGGCACCTCTGTCTCCTTTCCTCCGCGTGCCCTCTTCCCTTCCCCCCTCTCCGAGCGGGGTCCTTTCTCCAAAACACAAGCCCGTTCCTGCTTTCAGCCTGGCCAACTGAAGAAATACAGGTATGCGTGCCCCTACAAGGTCAGACCTGTGTGTGTGTGTGTTTCTGCTAAAATGTGAGGCTACAGCTGATCTGTCGCCGGCCAATGGCTACAAAGTTCCCACGAAACTAATTTCTAAGAGTTGAGGCAGGGACACACCCAGGAGCTAAATCAGGAGGAAATGAAAGAAGAGAAGAGAGTGCGTGGTGTCAGACAGACTGAAGGGGGTTGAGTGTGTGTGTGTGTGTGTGTGTGTGTGGTGGTGTGTGTGTGTGTGGGGGTGGGGGGGGGGGTCACTTGTAAAGAGGAAATAAAGGAAGGCGGTGCACTCTGCAGGCAACAAACACTAACACACCTTACAGTCAAAATTACAAAAAAGCCTAAACCTTTGCAGCTAAAGGCCTTTTTATACTCAGAAATAATGTCTAAAATATTAAATCAATAATTAAATGACACGAAATCCTATCAATACTTTCTGCAAAGCAAAACAAGTAATTTAAAAAAAAACTGCTGAAATATTTTACTTCCATTTTTTTGGCCCAGCTAATATGCTAAAAAATTATATGTACAATTTATTGGAAAATTAAAAAAAATAAAAATAATAATGCAAAAATGTGCTAAATCTAAATTTAGAGATGATCTGAAAATTAAAACTAAATAATCAACACCACATTTGAGCATAATTTTAATTTTTTTTGTCTGTGTTCGGACAAAAAAAAAATAGAAATAATAACAGATAAGCAAGAAAACATCCCTGCTTTGTGTCAAATAGAGGTCACTCAGCGCTCATTTCCTTGTTTTGTTGCACACTGTTTGCGTCACTTTAATCCACTGAAGTGTGCATGTCTGCATCTAAGGCTAAAAAGGCCAAATAAAGACGCGCAAACGCGCGCAGAGGTCAACCTGACGCCCAACCTGCAGGCGGTTTGCAGCGTTATAAATAAAAAGGTGCTGCAGCCGCAGTTTGTCCACAGGAGGGCAGCAGAGAGCGCATCTTCGCACCAGCCTCAGTGAATTTTACTGCCCAGACTCAGTCAAACCAAACAGCAAACAAATAATGTTCACATGACACAAGAACATGCAGATCACCATGAAATGACATCAAAACTAAGAGCTTATTTAACTGAGCCAACTATACATGCCATATAATCTTAATAATAAATGTTTCCTTTAAATGATTTTATAATATTAATATCAATATAATAATAATAATAAATAGAAGTGTATTCATGATCAAGCAGGTGTATTTGACTGACAAGCTGCACATGTCTTACCTGCTGAAGGTTTTTGCATGTAAACACCGGAGGTGAGGCCAGGGAGTGGGCAGGTGCAGACGGAGAAAAACCTCCAGCTGAGTCCTCGGACTGGGGGGTCAGTGACGCATCGGGGGCTCCTTTCAGCCATCGCGCCAAAAGATCCGGGCATGTCTCAAAAGTCCAAAGTCCGAGATCAAATCCAAAAAGGTGCTGGTGAAGGTCGGTGGGAGGAAGAGCCGCGCTGAAGCCCGCGCGAGCCCGCTGAATGAGAGGCTGCTCTATCCCGCTATTGGAAATTTTATAAATATATATATAAAGTTCATGTTCACGGCTTGCGGCCACGTGATGAGCTGCGGGCCAATGGGAGGCCGAGGCGCCTCGTAAAGTTGAGCCGGCCATCCATCCATTATCTTTACACGCTTCTTCCTTTTTGAGTCGCGGGGGTCACTGGTGCCCATATCCAGCAGTCACTGAGAGGCGGGGTACACAGGTCCGAGTCCATAGAGACAAACACACTTTCACTCACGCCTAGGGGCAATTTAGAGTTGCCAGTTGGCCTAACATGCATGTTTTTGGTCTGTGAGAGAGAAAACCCACGCACTGGGAGAACATGCAAACTGCACCCAGGAAGGATTTGATCATGGACCTTCTCCCTGTGAGGCTGCAGCTCTACCAACTGCGCCACCGTGCCGCCCCGTGTTGAACCGCTACGTTGTAAATTTTCATAAACAACAAACGGATTTATGGCCCATGCAGCGCAGGGCGGGGGTGGGAAGGGGGAGGCGGCAGGGAGCGAGAGGGAGGAAGGGAGGGGAGGGGGGTTCAGGCGCCATCTTATGCCGAGAGAGGAGAGGGAACGCAGAGTTCAACAGTAATTTCCCCTCCATCCTGCAGCCTGTCCCATCTCGCATCCTCATAGTTCACATTCTTCAACTTCGCTGTTTATCTAAGCCCTCATCATGGAGCCGGACACGTTTCAGGACCAGTACCAGACCCATACTGGGCAACTGGGCTCATAAAATACCGAGCAACTCATTCCTGCACTATTCTGCTGCAGAGGTTTAATTTCTCAGTGAGCGACGGCCATGTCCAAGTTGTTTTATTAAAGTTATATGAACTCATTTACAGGTTTTTATTTTTCATGCTAGAGTCAGAATTAAAACATTTTGTTCACATGATGCTTTACAGTAAAAAAAAAAAGAAAAAAAGAACAATGCGTCACAGCGTGTGTAGGATGATCTACAACTTTAAAGCTCACAAAATAAACATTTTCACACTGAAAACATTGTAAATAAATTATGGTGCAGTGCAAACACTGAGGAAATGTTTCAAAGTAATGTCAGCAAAGCCAAACTGAAGAGTTACTTAATTCATTCTTTATTCAGCAGAGTTAATATGAAAATGTGAAGTATGGGAAATAATAATAATAATAAAAAAATAAGCAATAAAAAGTCAAATAAAACAATATAAAATAAAATACCCACTCATTCGTCTTTTTAAACAAAGCTTTGTTGTTCGATTAAAAATAAGGCACATTGTCTCAGTAAGCTGAAAATATATATTTTTATTTTCTTGGCAATTTTTCTTGAATTTCTGTGTCAGAGTTTAAAATATAAGAAAATAAAAATTAGGTAGTTTTCTCAACGGAATGTGCAGTCCAGATGAATATGGTGTAAAAAAAATAGAAATAACTCTTTCAGGTACTAAATCTTGGATGTTTGAGATTTGTTCACAGCTTGTCATTAGTTTCAAACCTGTCGTGCGTAAAAACTCGTGTGTGCACACTCCTTCCATATCAACAGTGTCTATTGGATGAATATTTTTATTTCTCTCTTTTGTTATTCAGCAGCGGGTCGGGACTCTGCGCTTCCGGTGTCTCCAGCTTCGGCCTGAACCTCGCCAAGACCCCCCTCCTGGTTCGGCTCCTCCTTGTGGTCCTTCTTCCACTTCATCCTGCGGTTCTGGAACCAGATCTTGATCTGTCTCTCTGAGAGGCAGAGTGCGTGTGAGATCTCGATCCTGCGCCGGCGGGTCAGGTACCGGTTGAAGTGGAACTCCTTCTCCAGCTCCAGGGTCTGGTACCGGGAGTAGGTCTGCCGTCCGCGCTTTCTGGTCGGATCTGAAGAGGAGAAGAGGAGCGAGTTGTAAACAAATAAATAAATGAAATGAAATGAAATGAAATGAAATAAATGCACGTGTTTGCATGTATTGATTAAATCTTAAAGTGATAAAAACCTGCGGCTGAAAACAACAGGAAGTCTTTAATGTTTTTATAATTGCTCTTTTATTGTGGCTCAGATTTTCACATCACCACAAATGTTTGTGTGTGTGTTTTAGCTTTGTTGCCCTCCTGCAGGGCTGTTTGCCTCCTTCATGGGATCTTGCAGGATTTTTCCAATTAAAAGCCAGCCAAGTGCTGCACAGCTGCACCAATGGAGGCAGAGCTTCCATTTCCTTTAGCAAAAAAATGCTAATAAACACAAAACACGGGCTATCGTGGTGTTTTAAATCCATTTGGAGAAAGTAGTGCTGCATATTGATCCGAGTTTTGAGAGAACGGAGCCTCTGCAGCACAGACTCAATTAGAAAGAGGCTGCAGAGTGCACAGAGCTGATTTACGCACAGGCCGGGCTCTTTTTACAGCCACAAAGGGGAGAAGAGGCTGGAAGAGTAATAGGAGTGCTGAGGAAAACCCCCAGCGGCAAGGTCTGTGCGCACCCTGCACACACTGAGGCTCTGACCAAATGAATTTATGGCTGCAGAACTCATTAGTTGCGCAATAAAAGTTTTACGATTCTTTCCACGCAGCAGCAGCAACGAGCTGCTCGAATTTAATCGAACCGCCAAAGGCCAAAGAAAAGTCTCAGTGTTTTGTTAGAAAAATAAATAAATAAATGAAATAATAAGAAAAAAAATGACTTTGTTGTTTGGTGACATACCTGATGCGCGCATCCAGGGGTACAACCGGTGCTGTTTGTCCGGCGGAGAGGTGAGGGGGCCCAGCCCCGGGTGACAGCAGCTGCCCTGCTCAAACGGGCTGCAGAGCTGCGTGTGCGCGTCCTGTCCCCGATAGCCTGAGGTAAACACAGGGCGGCTCTGGCTTCCATTACTGACGCCGTAAACTCCAGAGAGACACGGAGCAAAGGCGAAGGCGGCAGCAGTCTGCTCCTCTCCGCTGGGTCCAGTCCTGCAGGAGGCTCGCTCTGCGCTCGCGAACAGAGAACAACCCGCCGCGGGTTTGCAAAGCAGACTATCCACATAATAAGAACTCATATTTTCTCTCTCTGATTTGTTGGCCAAGAATCCTCAGTGTCGTTTTTACGAGCTGCTGTGATATATGACAGCAATACACCCTAGATTTACACCAAACCCCATTTTTACCCTGGACCAAAGAAGTCGGCCACGTGACTTCGGCCTGGTCGCTCTCGACCAATCAGCGGAGGCTCAGGTTTCATTATGGCTCACAGGACTGCAGGATGGGATTAACACCTCACGCACGTAAACACATGCACATAAACACCCATGGGAGAAAAGCTCACGATCCAGAAGATCTGGAGATAGATTTATCGAAATCAGAGTTGTTGGTTTTTTTCACTGCCTCTGCACAAATATTCTCCAATAATCTGAAGAAAAACTGCAGCTTTCTAAACACTTTGCTTGTAAAACAGCATATTCAGAAATACTAAAACACAATGTAATATGTTAGTAAAGTATAATTATGTGTTTTGATAGGAGAGAGTGTTGTTCTTGCTTACTCCAATTTAATTAAAATGTATATATATTATATAAAACAAATCAACAATAAGATTTATTATTAAAAGAAAAACATATAAGAAATAAATTAAATAAACCACTGAATTTTTTTTTTATGTATATTATACCAGAAAATTTGAACTAAGAATATTTTCCATTCTATCTGGGCTATAAATAAGAGCAAGAAAATGGTTTGTAAGAATAAAGATAAGAAAATATTAAATTAAACCAATTTGTATCTTAATTATCACTGTGTTCTTTAACACTTGTTTACACACGTATTTGTTTTTTATACAAAAACAATAATAATGTATTATTTTTTATATTGACATTTAACATGATCCAGATTATTCCTAATTAAATTGCTTATAAAATATAAATCCTGACGTTTTTAATTGCTACAAATAATGACTTATCTTATTTTCTATAAAGGAGGTAAAAAAAATTGAATAGGTCTAAGTTATCAATTCAAGTTTTAAGATTTTAAAATAATCCGTAATTTATTTGGATATTAAAAAAAAAAAACATATGTTAAAATAAATATTCAATTCATATGCTAACTAATGAAGTTAATAAATAAAAAAGAAAACTAATAAACTAATATATAAATAAATAAATAATCTCAACATGATGCTCTAACTAGATGCCATCATATGGACTCCATGTTTGTGCGCATGTGCAGTAGTGTCTCAGCAGCAGCCATGCTGTGCGGTTTGTGGGTTTTTTTCCAGAGCTGCAGGTTTTAAGTAAAAGGAGCTCGTGCAGTGAGATTGTAAAAAGGTGTGAAATAATTTTCCCTGACTCTTAAAAGTGTTACTACACTTTGTCCCCACGTGTGCAGCTTTATTAGACGTAATGGGCAAAACAGCACGAGAGGGATGTTGTGGAAAAGTGTCGCCACCCTCTGGTAACTCTGGGGATTGTAGGGAAGTGCTCATGGAGGCCGACATTTTCATTTGCAGGAATATGTCCATGATCAAAGAAATGCGTCTCTGAGGTCATGTTGTGCTTTTAGATGTGTGGTATTTTGAACAAAACACGCGCGTAAAGGACGAACTGGAACCTTGGAAAGTCTGCTACTGCGCCTGAGTCCAGCTCATGGCTTTATTACTCCTTCTCCTTTTATAGGACGGCCTCAGCTACAGGGGGGAGCAGAGGGCGGAAGGTTCCCAGGTGAAGAACAAAAGAATCTCGTCGAATGACCGTGAGTCCTGCTCTGTCCGCGTCGGAGAGGAATCCAATAAAGTGCTGATCATTTCCGCTCGGCCTTTTGTCCACGATCCTAATCGCGCAGAAAAGAGAAGGCAAAAAAGCAAATGGGTGTCATTCTGGAAACGGCCTAATTGTGTCTGGACGGCCATAAAGCCATTAAAACTGGAATGCCAGACAGTATATAGCAGACCAGGCGTTTATGGCGCTGTCTCTGGACGAGTCTTTGAAGTTTGGGTCCATCTGCGTCCACCTAACGCGTCACAACAGCACTCCTGGACTGGTCCGGTTCAGCCTGTCTTCTGCACAGCTCTTGTTGAGAACTACATTTTAGCTGTCCTAGATTTGACTTATTTGTACGGCTGACTCACATTTGGTCTCTTTGTGTCAAATATTTCCCACCAACATGCAAAGACAAGCATCTAAACGAGAATCCACTCAAGCAGCTTTACCTCAGCCTGTGTTTTCAATTGAATTTAAAATTAAAACGTGTTCGTTGTATGGATTTTTCCCCCATTGGAAGTGGAACTGGTGTCATGTAGCATATTTGAGACTAGTCGGCCTCCTTGTATCTGCGCTGAGGCCGCATTATTTTTGGTCTTCAGCTGTCGGAGAGCTCAGTGTCTTTTTTGTTTTGTGTCCTCTCGCCTCGCAGCGCTTTGCACCCCATAAAAGGTTATAGCAGTAATTGTCTTTTATGGCTGTATACAGCTAACAACATCCTCTGCCAACGCGCAACTCTGTCTCCACACACACACACACACACACACACACACACACACACACACGCACACACACACACACACACACACACTATTCATTTAAATACTGCATGCATAATGCACGTGAACCCTTAAATATTAACAAGTGACCAAAACACCTAAAGATTAGTTCAACTTGATCTGGTTTTGTCTCATTTTGTTGCACCAAAACAAACAGAAATATTCAAGTCGATGAGGTCAAAATCAATTAAAGCAGAAGAAGCTCTTCCAGATATAATTTGTTTTATTTAATAAATAGTACAAATTACATTTTGTGAAGCAAACAGAACGGTCCGCAGACCACGAGGTATTTAATGAGAAGCCTACAGTGTTGAAAATGTTACTCCCTGAAAACTGTCAAGACAAATTACAGCGATGCGAGCAGACCTACATCCTCATCAGACACCTAAAACATCGAGCTATCGTAGGTAGTGGACAAACATAGGTAGTCGAGAACTTTTATAACATTTTCTTAATGAAATTCCCCCTAAATGTCTGCCATTTATGCATCTATTCTTCAAAATGTGTGTATTTACCCCCTAAACAGGTCTAAACTTATAGTATCAAATTCATGGTCATCAGTCATTGTTCTATGGAGAAACAACAATAAAATTAATATATTTAATCATATATATATATATATATATTTATACTGACTCTAAAATAGACAACAAATAGAGTTACAACAGAAACACAGCTATAAACATCCAGACACATACAAGCACAGGCCAACTAATTCAACGAGGTATTAATTGAAGAGGGAATTAAAAAGTGGGGCACTGTCAGAATTGTGCAATATTAAGGTAGTAGCATCAAACTAAAGCCCAACATGCTTTTTATTCCTATTTACTTATTTATTTATTTTACAAGACAAATGATCCTACAGCTGTTTCATAGAACAATAAGACGGCGGAGTTTATAAAGAAGGTCCAGCAGAGTTTGGCGCGTCACGTTACTCGTCTTTCGGTGCGCCGTCTTTGTTAAACTTCTTCATCTTCATCCTGCGGTTCTGGAACCAGATTTTAACCTGTCTCTCCGTGAGGTTCAGCAGCCTGGCCACCTCGTACCTGCGGTCCCGGGTCAGGTAGGTGTTGAAGAGGAACTCCTTCTCCAGCTCCAGGATCTGGTGCTTGGTGTAGGGGCAGCGCTTTTTTCTCGTGGCGCTCGCGTGGAGCCAGTTTGACACCGGGTTATCTAAGGAAAAAAGGATTGTGAACATAATGTGTA